ATAACCATCAGTACTTCCAGTATGTGACGACAGAAGAAACGGACAGTTTATTTTACTCACCTCAGTGGTTTGCGGTCAATGCAGACTTTCTCATAGATGTCTTTGAGGAACTGAGGAGCGCTCTCCTGCACCACATGATGGATCCGCAAACGTGCCTTCAGGTACTCGAGAAACCGCTTCATAAAGCCCACAAAGTGCTCTGCAGTGCGGATGCTGCCAGGTACAGCCTCTGTAGTGAGAGTCACATACGTCAACTATATTTGGATACTTAAGCCACACTTCATGAACCAAAATATTGAAACAAATGAGATTTAAAGAAATTTAAAGCAAAATTCTTACAAATGAAATCTGTTTGATTTCATATCATAGAACAGACATTGTATTATTATTGTTCAATCAAGAATAAAAGTATCTGGAGATTTGTCAAACAGGGAGGATGACTTCATACATCAGCTATAAATTACCTTGGGACCAGCTGGTTGTAAACCATCACCAATATCAGTCTCAGTTACGTTACTTTTGAGAAATATGACGTGAGTTTGCAGATGGTACTTGGATTGATATCTTGTATTTAATGCAAAGACAGACACTTTTGTGTGACGCAAGTCCAAATACTTTAGGGGTTGTTAATAAAACTGACCTTGGAGGATTTCATCTGGCAGAACTGGGTTGGACAGATACATGTCAGTTTCTCTGGCAACATTTGCTTCTTTAAGACCCTCAACTAATCTGCTGTATTCTTCTCGGAGTTTGGCAGCATCTGTTTCCTTAATTCTTTAAAAGAACACAAACAGAATACAGGAAATTAAAGGCATTACTCATGTAGTAATAAATAAAATACTAATGAATTCACTCTCCCAGTATTTTGTCACACCTGCTAATGGTGTTTTGCAGGGTTTCCACATTAGTCTGGCAGCGATCCAGTGTCCTCCTGGTAATGTTGACGCTCATGGAATCAATACACACATTATCTAGAAGAAACAATATCAGCTTAAATAACCATGTCAACATGATATGGGTGACCGTGACAAGCACTGTGATTTTCTACTCACCGATATTGTGAGCCTCGTCAAACACAACTACAGATTTCTTTGCAAGCTCTTTCGAGACCAGGTCTGCAATTTTTGGATCTAGTAAGTAATGGTAGCTGTACACTACAATGTTTGCATGAAGAATCTGAAAGAAAAAACATGAAATCAACAACAATGAATTGCATGCACAGCAAACATCCACCATACTAAATCTAGCAAAGTACTCACTGCATAACGTGCCAAGAAGTACGGACACCAGCCTTTTCTACGCCCAAAATCCTTCAGATCATCCAAGTTATATATACCAGGGGGAATGGGCACCTGTCTGCCTACTGCATCAAATTCCTGCATACAGGGAAACGATTATTTTACTGTTAGTTAAATATTTGATTTACATTTATATTTGAATTAAATATTTTTAAAATATATTTTTAATATTGTGATCAAAGACTATGCAACGCAAATTACAATTTGAAAAAAATAAAATATTTTAAATAAAATGTTTATTTTACAACAAATATTAAAAAGAAATTGTAATCTTAAATGGATGTGATTATTTCATATACTTGAATACAATAAAATATACTGTAATTCCTAGCATACAGGACATCAGGCCTAAAGCAAAGTGACTTATGACTAAATTACACATATTGTGCCGGGGGATTGTGAAGAAAAAAATGCTAAAAATGCTACAGCATATGCTTGAGAAAAGCTTCATACCTCATAGAACTGGCAGACAGGTTGACTTGGATTACTGTGATGCTGAGCTCGAATATATGATGCTGTCAGACTGTGACACTTTCCATCTACTTCTTTTCCAAACCGTAGGGCGCTCACCTGTAATCACACATTTATGGGATGAAATTAGACTCAAACTGACTAACGAATGCATGCACAATTATCCATGAACTTGATAAATGTTGCAAATGTATCTTATTAACCACAACCAAATGTCTGTCAACTTGTGTCTGTGAAATTCAGAATTAGCATGAATGTGCAGTGGTTTGTACAAATAGAAACATGTTTGTGAATACAGATGATTTCTTTTGCATTAGTGTATCAGAATTTGCGGATGCAACAAGGAAGATGTGCATTTGTGGATCGAGTGGCACCCGTACATTCATTGGCATCACTTCTGAGTCGATTCATTTGAATTTTGAGACTTTCTTTTCGCCCTTTCATTCCACACACAAACAGCTCGCCATCCACACGCAGCTGAGCCTAAGAAAATCAGCGACCACTAGATGGCACTCTAGCCCCAGCGGCATGTGCGCTTTTATGAATGGTTTGCATCGTTTTTTTGGTTTGGTTATTCTCCTCTGCCCCTTCAAATATAATAACTCTACATATAACTCTGTAGAGAGTGATTTCAGTTAGTATCTTGGCTAATATTTGATCGAACTAAAACACTGAATAAATTTACTGTTGGCCAAACAAATGTATGACAAACACTTTCAGGGAAACCCAGAGCAGAGCTATTTTACATCAGCGTTTCATTCATTTGAGCTGATTTATATTTTCGTAAGATCTGTGGATAAGCTGAAACCCCGAATATTTGCACAAATTATAATTCATTGTATTTCAGTTAAACATTTTTAACTAGTTCTAACAGCAGATTTAGGCATGGACGACACACAGACAGCCGGCATGCTTCTTTGCAGCCGATTCAGACTCAGAAAATACTAGTGTAGGCTATTAACAAATAATTAAGAGTCTAATTTCATCCCATACACATTCACTTCCATTTAATGAGTTCACCTACACAAAAATATTACTGAAACCACACACAAATCTGCTCATTGAGCAGCTTCTACCTCAGGATGAATGCACAGATTTTTCCGTGAAGAAAGTGCCAGTGCAAGGAAGTCATTTTTCGCTTCTGTTTGCTTTGTATAATAATCCATTAGTTTCCTTAGTTCCTCCACAACCTGAGAGGAGAACAGAGAGGTTACAGAAAAGACAGATACTTAACTGATGAAAAGTGTATTTGAAAAGCAATTTTAAAATAAGAATTAATTATGCAGTGGGTTATAAAAATGTATATAATGTTGAATACCTTCTCTATCTCAGGCACAGTGCGAGAACAGTAGACAAGCTTTGTGACTTCTAAAGGGTAAGCCTGCAAGACATGAAAATATAAATCAAATTACATGCAGTTATCAGACTGTCATTATAGTGAAGCTTCAAATTATATAACACAATCATTCAGAAATCCCTCACCTTCTGGTAAGCAACGATGAGGGAAAGAAGAGAAATTGTTTTTCCTGTTCCTGAGGGCATCTCGAGAACTCCATGACCCTTTGCACATATAATAAATGTGGGAAACAGACAGATAGATAGATAGATAAAATCCATTTCTTTGGGCTTTCACTAGGTAATTTAAATGCCCCTGTTGTGAGACAAAAGTAAAAGTACAAATATCCCATGTTGTCTCTCAATTAATATAAGACTATAAAAACTGCATGCATTATTGATTGAACTTTATTATCCAACACTGTGGAAATTTTCCTTTGGCTTCTCAAAAGAAAAAAATAATAATTCTCATATAAGATACTTACACTTACTTAATCCATTCAATATTCTAATTGTCACTGGTATTATTATTCAAGAAGAAATAATAATTCTATATAAATTAAAATAAAATGTCGTTTAAACCATATAGCACATTACATTGCATGAAAGTTTTGTCCTGGCGTGAAATGTCATGTCAACTACCCATAATGTTGGGTGCATATTACATATTACACAATATTAGCTTAATAAATGGATTCTAACATACCTTTGCATCCAGCGTCCTCTTCAGCTCAAGCATGTACGAGTATTGTTCAGGATAAATGTAATCATACGGAAAGTAGACTAATAACCCGTCGATATTCAGCCTAAATGAATGAAAGAGGAATAAGAGCAGAAAACTTCTGTTAACTAAACAACGGTTAGGAGAATTACCAGTCTGCACATTTGCAGCAATGCTACTAGTCTAGCAATGCACATACTGAAATTTGACCGTTTTACTCGTACAACGTTACATATCTATGGTTTTACTCACTTCATGTTTTCTGGTACTTATACTTTACAGCACTGGTGTGTTTCTCGTAGTCAGTTTTCTATCATTTCAAACATTCACATAGCTGTATATATAACTGTCATTTGTATTACACAACAGACTTCTTCTTCGTCGTCTTCGTCTTCTTCTGCTGCTGCTTCTTCTTCTTCTTCTTCTTCTTCTTCGAGGTTTAACGGCGGCTTGCATCCAAGAGCGTTGCATTACCGCCACCTTCTGGATTATTCTCCTGCAATGTTATTCCATTTTATTTCCTCCAGCTTGTTTTCCACAATCATATTTTCCTCATCAAACCCGTTCTACTTAAGAAATTACAAATATTTTTCCTGCTTTGTCTAATCACAGACTTCTATCGAGCTATACAGGCGTTTTAGTAGCACGACAATCTGTCGCAACTAAAACGCGTAAGGTATTTTGCTTCTATGATTGGTAGTTCCACTTGAAAACCCTCCCAGTCTGACATCTTATTGGATGATACGCATGTCAATTCAACTTTTTAGCGGAAGTACATTTAGAACCATCGGGGTTAGACCTGAATAATCAAAAAGAAGACCTTTTTTTTGTGAAGTCTTTCATTTAAATATAAAATGTAAATATAAAAATTATATTTTATATGACTTTAATTTCAATATTAAATTATTTAAAATAATAAATACTAATAATTTTAGGAAATAACATAATTTAGGAATCATTTAGAAAATAATAGTTTTACCAAATTTAATATATGTAAATAAATGTAATTTTTTATTAATTGATAATAATTTATATTATAGAGTATATAATAAACATTACATTTTAAATAATAAAAGAAAGAAGAAAGAAAGAGAGAGAGATTGAAAGAAAGAAAGAAAGAATATTTTATTATTAAAACAGCAGAGGCATGTACTTATATAATATTTTATTTACATGAACATTTTATTTCATATATTACAATGCAATAAAATATACTGTAATATTATACCCCAACAAAGATAAACCTTTACAAAGTGATTTCCTTTGTACTCATAGGCAGGGCAAATAATTATCTCTTAGATCTCATGTTTTACATATCTGCATAACATGTTTACTCCTATGGAAGGGAAGACCCATTTGAGGTCATTAATTGATAATATTCACCTACATTGTACAAGTTGATACTTTCCGGAAAGAAATTTACTACATAGTCAAAATCCCAATTCTTTCCCTGCAAAGCATAGCTTACTTAATAAGTAATAGCAAATACAAAAATCAACAAATTTTTAGTGCTTAAATATTTAACATCTCCAGTTAAGCTAGAATGACCAAAACCCAGCAAAACACTTCTCTTGTAATGTTATCCATTAACACATTATTTTATGATCGGATCACCTTATGGAAATGAATAGATCGATTGACTGTCTTTTTCAGAGTTGAAGCTGTAAAGATTATTGCCAGTTTGTTATAATTACATGTGGATAAAAATGTGTCATAATACTACAGCATCTGTGGCACAACCAGCTCTTTCATCCCAATTCTTTCAGTGCTTTAAAATAAAGATTAGGTGAGCTGACGCCTATATTACAGTTTCTGAAAGAGTCCCCTTATATCTCATGTCTTTCTTCCACACTCTTATAACGGTCCATGATCCTAAGAACATCCTCCAAAATGGACGGTCCCAGGTCCAGGTCCAAACCCATTAGTGACTCCGAGCGTGACATGCTGGGTGAGATAGCTGGAGATTCACAGTGTTCGCTCCGCAGGTCCTCATTACTGAGTCCTGCATCAGAGTCCAGACTCAAGCCTCGTTTTGGGTCCAGTGGACCACAGCCTTCCGACATGGAGTCATCCGAGGAAGCCTCTGATAAAGAGCCTGTGCAAGGCACCAGGTGCTGCAGGACTGGGATCGAGGCGGAGAGACTGAGGTCACGGCAGGGATCCCCGTGCTTCCCAATCCCTTCCTCGCAAACAGACATGGAGCGCTTCTGCGTTGGACTGTGATGATGATTCTGCTGCTGCTCTTGCTGGGACGGCTGCTCGTCTAAATGCAGACGGGGGGGTTTAGGAGGTGGTTGCACAGGCACAATGAATACCGGCATGGAGATGGTGGTTTTGAGGAGAGAATTGTGATGAGAATTATGACTGCGATGGTAAGTGTGGCTCTTGCTGTTCACATCCAAGATCTCATCCATTCTTCTGTCAATGCTGTGAGAACGAGAGCTGGGCGCTTGATTGAGGGCTGGAAGCATGTCGAGTTTGCCTTGCAAGAATCCCACATCGCCAAACATGTCCCCTTCTCCTTCAGGCCCAACATGGGCACTGTGACGCACATCACCCAGCGGCGGGCTTATCATGTCTCCTGAAAGAATGTCCCGTATTTTCTGCTTCTTTCCTCGCTTTGGTGTGGACGTCTTTAAGTACATGGGTGTCTTGGCTGGCATTCTGTTTCCCAGTATTTTGTGTCAAACGTGTGATGATGTTTGTTGCACAAATGGAGAGGAAACTAGTCCTCAGTCTGATATAAGCACTTTCATATCTTTCGGTTGGTTTGTCTCCTTTATTTTACAGCAGCTGTAAGTGACATACTTTATGTCTGAAACTCTTCAGAAGCTCCTGGAATGTATCATCGCAACAACAGATCTGAGGAACAAACAAGGAGAAGAAAGATTTACAATCTGTGAAATTCAAGAGTGGGGTAGTATTTCAAAAAACACAAAGAAAAGCACACATATTTACTGTGCAATTTGAACAACAAAGAAAACAACTCTGTTTTTCTTCGCCCCTGAGCAGAGATTTTCTCTCCAGTCTTTGCAGCTACTTACCAATAAATTGGAGGTTGGAGGTGACGCAACAGAATAACAGTAAAGTTTTATTATTTACTTCAAGTGTCTCTAAGATATATAAACATTTATTAAATTACATCCACACTGACATACAATGGCGTTGCTAGGAATTCTGGGCCCTGTGCACTGAATTTGCTTTGGGGCCCCCTCAAAACTTATTTTCTCCAACATCCATTTGATAAGAAAATAAGGGAGAGTACAGCATGGACAGCATCAAAGTGGTTATTTTTACTTCACCCACAAGACGCAAGTTAATTGCTGTCACTGGCGCAGCATGTAAAACTGTTATTGTTTCTCTATGACAGCCATATGTTTCTACCATTTTTCTCACAGCTTGTTGCTGAGATTTATTGGCCTGTGACGCAACTGAGAAAACATGCTAGTAATAAAGAAAGGCAAAATATATATTGAATGTTTAAAAGATGTTTGTTCCGTCAATGGAGAGAAAAAGTGATGTAAGGCGTAAAAAGATGTCTTATATGACATCTGTCCTCGTGACCTTCAGAAAATCACTTGGAGGAGTTACACTAACACACTCCTATTATGTAACGGTTAAACCGATCCTTGAGATCAGCCAATTCCCGGATTTCCCTAGTAAACCACATGGTGTCATTGCTTTAACACAGCTGAGATTTCAGTCTACACCCACCATGGTGTATAGAAAGTGGGAGGCTTGGTTATTTATCAGGGTTTTTTTTTTGTATATCTTTATTTAAAATTGCGTAGGTTTTTGTATATATATATATATATATATATATTAATTAAATGAGAGAATAATGTGAATGGCTGAAACCTTGATTAACTATAATAATTAAGGGCTTTTACAGTCACCAAAACCCTGATTTGTGCAATGACATATACATTGCCATATGACAATACAGTTTCAGATATATTGAAATTTTCCTTAAGCACACTATAAACGATGTTCTCATCATTATGTAATAATAGTTTGGTTACATCCATTTAACTTACAAAAATGTCATTTCTACTAGATTTCTACTAGAGTTCTGAGTTCAGTTTCCTTCACTAAAAATTTAATTAAACGTTGTCAAAAAGTGTAATGAATGCTTTACTGAAACATTCAAACAGCCAAGTTTTCAATGTTTTTTTTTTAATTTTTTACAAATGATAATGTATCAGATTCAAGAAGTAATCACTAAGTTACATGTGGCTCATCTCAAGACAATAAATCTCAGCACTGACTGTAGTTTAATAAATTGAGATTTAAATTAGAACATTCAAAACAACAGGTAAAAGTATCTGTACTTGCCTTTGATATCTGCGTTGAACTCTCTGGTTTGTTCAGGTAGGTTATTCCGGGGTGTTAGTGGATAAGCTGTTCTGAGTGCGCGTTCTCGGTAGGGTAGCTATAAAGCTCTTAAGCGCGCTGAAGCTGAGGGTGACGAGCTGCAGAAGGGCAGGGACGGGGGCGTGCGCGCATGATGCTCGTGAATGAGGAAATCTTTGGCAGGAGGACGCCTAAAGTGGGTTTGCACCATAGATTTTACACACCCTGTATGGCGTCTGTCTGTTTTAAGTGTTAAAGTGCGCACTTATATATAGGCACATGGCACCGTTTGTGCTCGCTTCCTCATCTCAGTTATTTATTTGTAATTAAAGGGACAGTTCATCCATAAAAAAAATTATTTTTTATTTTTTAAAGGGGGCGATTTATGCGATTTCAAGGTTTCCTTTCTCTTTGGAGGGTTACAAGCTGTTCGTGAATAGATAAGATCCCTAAAGTTGCAAAGACTAAAGTCTCAAACCCAAAGAGATATTCTTTATAAAAGTTAAGTCTGGTCCACGCCCTCCTAAAACGCCTCATTTAAACACCCCCACATGTATACGTCACAATGTGGGAATATTTGCATAACGCCGCCCAAATATTCACGCAAAGAAAAAAGGCATAACTTAATTGTTGCTGCAGCTGCTGCTGCCATGTTGTGAAGGCGCTGTGTGTTTCGTTGCGAAAGCGAAACTACTTTGTTTGGTCTTCCAAAAGAGGACACGACTAGAAATCAGTGGTTAAGTTGTATTTACAACACTGTTCCAGAACACTTCAACCCAAATATTCAGATGTGTGCAGCACATTTTATGGAGGACTGTTTCCTGATCCTGGGAGAGTAGACAATGCTGGCTGTTCTGACTCACAGACTGTAAGTACATTTTCATATTTAAAGTATTTGCCACTGACGATTCAAACGCGAGTTTTGAGCAGTGTAGAGTAGCGCTTGTTGTTTGTCATTTCTCCGATCACAAATGCAGACATGGTTTTATGTTTGCGCGGCGCGATGCAACGCGTAAAAAGACAGTATAAGTCATTATAATCCATAATTATAAGGGGAATTATTAAGGGGAAGTCGTGGCCTAATGGTTAGAGAGTCGGACTCATAACCCAAAGGTTGTGGGTTCGAGTCTCGTACCGGCAGGGATTGTAGGTGGGGGGAGTGAATATACAGCACTCTCTCCCACCTTCAATACCACGACTGAGGTGCCCTTGAGCAAGGCACCGAACCCCCAACTGCTCCCCGGGCGCCGCAGCATAAATGGCTGCCCACTGCTCCGGGTGTGTGTTCACGGTGTGTGTGTGTTCACTGCTGTGTGTGTGCACTTTGGATGGGTAAATGCAGAGCACTAATTCTGAGTATGGGTCACCATACTTGGCCACATGTCACTTCACTTTTTTTTTTTTTTTTTTAATTATGTCCCCACTGGATGCAATGAATACCTCGTTTATAATGGGTTTTAATGTTTTTGTCTCGTCGCTCCGGGACACGGCATCACAGTATGGTGTGGGGCGTAACATTTCCGTCACACGCTTGAGGTATTCGGCCAATCACAACGCTCTGGATAGCTGGCCAATCACAGCACACCTCGCTTTTCAGACCGATGAGCTTTGTAAAAATCGACGCGTTTCAGAAAGGTGGGGCATAGAGGAGAAACAATAATGTACAGAATGTGGAAAATAATGTGTTTTTTGAACCTTAAACCACATAAACGCATTTCATTACACCAAATACACAAAATAATGTTCTTTTTAGCAACATCATATGACTCCTTTAAATGTTTTAAGTATGTGCTCATCTTATATCTTTGAAACTCTTATGACTTTTTGTCATCTGTTGAACACAAAAGACATTATTTAAAGTATAATTTCCAACCTGTGCTCTTTTCCATGAATTAAAGTAAATGGTGAGCAGGGATGTCAAGCACAAGCTTTAGTCAACAATTTCAGTCTGTTCCTTACACAAGGGACTTTGAATACAGTGTACATGTAGTAGACGGATTTTATGATATTTTTTATGGTGTTTTGTTGTCCTTTTTTAAGCTTGACAGCCACAGTCCCCATCCCCTTCCATTGAATGGAAGAGATCAGCTCAAACATTCTGGTAAATTTCTCCCTTGGTAGAACCAAAGTTGGATAGATTTGGAATGATATAACAATGACTAAATGATGACAGAATTTTCATTTAGTGGTGAACAATTCCTCTACCTTCAGATCAACACAGCAAGTGCTTAGCAATGTCTTTCCCAATGCTGATGCTGCATTGACTCATGGGATAGACAAGTCCTACCCTGGTGTAGGTTTGTCTCATAAATAGTCACAAACAAAGTCACAAACAAAATAGTCACAAACAAAGCAAGACAGGTTGCATAAGCACAGAAACAATGTTGTAATATCCCTTTACTGGTAACAAAAAAACAACCACAAATCATTTTCAATAATAAGCAGTCTAACAAATAACATAGACATTAAATGTTTATCAAATACTTATTATTGTAAGTTCAATTACATGTTTATCAAAGATGTATTATTGTAAGTTTAATTAAATGTAAAAAAAATTACTTTGTGGCTATAACTGGTTTTATGTATTTTTAAGTTAAATGTGTTATTTAATGTTGCTTATAATAGTTTTGAAAGTTTAATTAAATGGCATAATTGGGGATCATCTTTCCAAAGAAGCAGATGAATGAATGTGACGTGTTGTTAACTTTTAAACAGTGATGAGTCTCTGTGTGACAGACAGCCAGATCATCAGTACACTTGAAGATAAAAATGCAGATGTGAGCACCTATAAAAATGTTGAAAACAGCAAAAAGCATGTTGAAACCTACTTTTATTAAACTAATTTTCTCCAAATTAGAAACATTTGTTTGACAGTCACTAGGACTATGAGCCAGGTTGATCTTAGACTACAAATATGCATACAAGGCCCTTTCAAACCATCCTGTAAAACAGGTCTCTGTTTTATGGCTCTGTGGGTTTAAGCTCTAGTTAATGTTAAAATCAACAACTACCTCTGGAATTATTATCAGACTTCTAAAATTCACAGACCTGACATTTATAACTTTAACACACATTCAACACCCATTTCTTAGGTTCAGTACTCAGTGTGTTGGATTAAGCCTTCCAAGCTTTTCCTGTAAATTTCAACATGATTTCACTTGATGTATCATAGTGATGACCCACTTGACTGAAGACTATTCCATAATGTCTCATCATTATCTGTGTGAAAAAGTTCTTTAGACTATGATTCAGTGACCTAGAAATTTCCCTTACTCAACTGACAGACAAAACTAAAATGGCATAAATAACTTCTGTGGAGTCTTCAATAAGGTTACATATATTCGTTACAACACCCAATTCACAGATTACTGCACAAACCATCTGAGGATTAAGACCATCCTCCTCTACCATCTATCATTTCTTGGAAGATCTAATGTCTGTTCTTGTTGAATTAATCAGTGGTTTAGCACTGGAGGGTTCAGTTGCTGGTCAGCTCTGACGCAAAGGGCCAGAATGAACCATTGGGTCAAGCAGCACCCCCTTCTGCGGAGCCCTCTCAAGTCATCAATCCATCAAAGATGTTACTGTGTATATTGTATGAATGGGCAGTAAATGGGGAATGCTGAACGAGAGACCAATTTTGCAGGACAACTGGCTAGCTAGTGACCTTACTAGCAGGAATTCTGGGAATTTCGGGATATGACATGTGGTTTGCATTAGTGCATTAGAGTGTTTTCACAGTGTTCAAAGCACAGGCCTGTCAGAAGTCATTCTGGGAGGATGACACACTAAGCTGAGATGGAAAAAGAGCTGTAATTCCACTTTGAAATCACACTGGACTCTGACAATTGTGACTTTTACTGTGGCATATTTTGGACATTTTTATTGGACATGCTTATTTGAATCTATCTGTAGAATAAATAACATGATACGCTTGATTAAGCCTATTAATTATTGACAGACAGATTGGAGTAACTGGAGTTCAAATGGTGGAAAGATGTTGTTAAATCCTGCATGCCATAAACATAAATGGACAGAATTTAAACAGTTTTAGCTACACTAGTTTAGACACTAGGCCACAGGAGAACAGCCCCCCCAACTGAGCCTGGTTTCTCCAAAGGTTTTATTTCTCTCCATTTCTGTCACCAATTGAGTTTTGGTTCCTTGCCACTGTTGCCTTTGGCTTGCTTAGTTGAGGACACAATTTCTGGCAATATTGTTGACTTGATTGCACAGACACTATTTGAAGAGAACTGAACTGAGCTGGATGAAGACACCACTGAATCAACAATGAACTGACTTTAACTGAAAAACTGACTGTTTTCAATTGTCCTTTTGCATTATCAGCACACATTGTTTTTTTCTGTTTAACAGTGCAAAGCTGCTTTGACACAATCTGTATTGTATAAAGCGCTATATAAATAAAGGTGACTTGACTTAACTTGACTAGGTTTCTATTCATGGTCTATTTAGTCTCTGCTCCCCACAAGGACACATTGCTGCCAATGTGGGCAGTATAGAAGATAAGAAAACAATACAAAGGACTGAAATAGAACAAATATTTTGACGAATAAAATATTGATATATTTATCTTTAGCCCAGTCTGAAATAGCTTACTTCAGTTTCATTGACATGTCAGAAAATCGGTGTGATTTACTACAGCTATTTAATGAGAGCAGACTTGGGGAAAGACAGCTCAGCAGGAAAAGAAATAAACAGACCATATGACCCATTTAGTGCAGATAGTTCCCAGAGGGCCGAGGGGCTGCTGTGGGAACTCAGTAGACTTTGAATTGACTGCAGTAATTATCATTAAGCAGCTCTTTCACACAAAGACACACATACTGTAATGCATGTTGAGTTGCAATTGAAATTTGCTTACTTAGCATACAATGTATGATTTTATGCTATTCAAAATGCATTACAAATTAAATTCATATAGACAATGACTTAGATATGATTTCTGAATAAAAAATAACTTTTACATGTGGGGGGTATAATAAAAATTGCTAGATGGTGTAACTGTCTGAAAAAAAAAGAGAATAATAATAATGATAAATATTGGCACAAGTAGCTGGCCATAATATTAAAAAAAAAATTGAGTTGCAATTGAAATTTGCTTACTTAGCATACAATGTATGATTTTATGCTATTCAAAATGCATTACAAATTAAATTCATATAGACAATGACTTAGATATGATTTCTGAATAAAAAATAACTTTTACATGTGGGGGGTATAATAAAAATTGCTAGATGGTGTAACTGTCTGAAAAAAAAGAGAATAATAATAATGATAAATATTGGCACAAGTAGCTGGCCATAATATTAAAAAAAAATATATTTAAAAAAAGCAGTGAAACCTTTTGCCCACCCATTCAAAAATCAATGCATGTCCACAGCCATATACAGTATGTCACATGACAAGAACACTATTCAACACAGTGGACCCTTTTAATGGACTTTTAAACCACCATGAATATGTTTCTGGGTCAAAATAAAAAAAAGGTTGAGATTCAGTGGAGTAACTTTATTAAAAAGGCAATTTATTATATGGAAATAATATTAACTTTTAACCTTTGTTTGAAATATTAAATATTAGTATTTTAGTACATTTCACTTGCTTAAAGGACTTCACATTAAATCAACCAAACCAAAAAAAAAAAAATTTTTTACAGATTAATACAGTACCACAATTTTTGTGAAGTTTAATTGTACATTTACATGGCTTGGTAAAAAATAAAAAATAAATGAAATGACCGCAGATAAACTGCATTTCGTTATTGTGGTGTTTTTGGATTTCAAACTTTAAAGCAAGGGACTTTGAATATTCCAGGCTACTTTTGTAACAACCAGAGAAATATTTCACATAATCTATTTTTATATGTTATTTCCCCTTTATCCAAACCAGTGGAATAGGAAGAAAGTGTTTAGAGTGAAAAGGAAGGCTCCACTCATTGAGTCAATGAATTTCCCTGTCTGTTTTTTTCCAAAGGAAGCCAGTTTTGTTTTTGAGGTCTCTTAAGCAGACATCTCGCTCCCACTCCAGTGCCTGGCTCAGATCAGTCTTCCCAAGAAAAATGAGGCTGGGTGGAATTCCTCAAAGAGGGCAGGAAATAGGGTGGAGGTGACCAAAGAGGTTGCAGTTGTGTCCACATGGGAATCACAAACATGATATGGCTGTAGAAATTCGGCACGAGGTTGACTTAATCTCCTAAACAGTTCTAGATTGAGAGCAGAGGTTCCAGTTAAAGTAAAACTAAAAATAGGCTGACAGTAAAATGTTTTTATTAGTAGTAGTCTCTGACATTTCTTCCACACAAATACACAAAGAATAATTATATAAGGTTGTATTAGCTGTGAATTAAATGCCACTTTTTATTTTAATACCCTACAAAATACATAAAATACATTTTTTTATAAGAAATTAAAAATACAGTTATAATCTTTTTTTAAACACTATATTTACGCAATCCTTAAAATTTAGTTGTTGCCTTGAAAGGATTAGTGACAAAAAATATGCCAATGCATCATTCTTACGAAGTTTCAACTATTCTATTTTCAATTAGTGTTGGCGATGGTACATATCCGTGACAGGCAGCTGTAGTTTTACTCTGAGAAAATATTTGCATACAGTTTAAAACAAAGGATCTGGGCTAAAATAAGCTACTTTGTAAGTACATTAAGCAAATTTAGCCTCCGTTTAATCAAGGCCAGTTTCCCCTGCCAAAGAAAATCAACACTCTTGCCACTTCAGTTAAAAAACTGCAGGGTGTGGCGGTACCCTGTATAGAAACGTGTTTACAATGGACTAAATGTAAAACAAAGTCAAATAGGATCTTTTTCTGTGGTTTCTCATTTTAGGGAGGTTCAACCTAACAGCAAATGACACTGTTGAGCACTGTGGTAAATGGACACAATTTTAACTTGACTGAGATTTCTCCGAAGTTGACATTGAGGATGAGTGAAATGCCAAAAAGGTAACCAACATTGCACTTACAACGATAGTTCAGCCAAAAATGAAGATATGCAAAGAAGATATTTTGAGAATTTTTCTTCCCCATTCAATGGAGGTCAAAGGCCACCAAAACTGTTTGGTTACCAATGTTGTTCTTTTGTTCTTCAGAAGAAATAAATTCATTCTGGTTTGGAACAGCATGAGGATGAGTAAATGACACAATCTTCATCCCTCTTGCCATACCTTTGTAAAAGCATACCAACAGTAAAGAGTAAGGAACGTGGTAGACCTGGAATCTAGAGGAAATGACTCATATCATGCTCGCACAGATCATAATACAACCAACAGCACTGATTCACCCATTGTTTGAGGTCCTGCTCGTTTTCAATCTGGTATTGCCTTTATTAAATACTTCACAACTTCACCTACAATGAATGGTTACAAAATTTTACTTTTTGTCAAATATGGACACTTTTCAATTTACAAAGCCGTCATTTTGCTGAGAGGCAACCCAAAAAAACAAAAAACTCAAGATAATTCAGAGCAGTCATTGAGACATACCACCTGCTTCAGGGAAAGAGTGACAGAGCCGTGAGAAAACAAATGAATGACATGATATATTTTCCATCAACGTTAGCTGTTGTACAATTCAAGTTAATTTACAAACCAGATGGGAAGAATATGTACTGTACAAATGTATGTATATATATATATATATATATATATATACACACACACACACACACACACACATTCATAAAATGGTTCAATCTGACAGACACGTTACAAAGAAAAGAAAAAAAAGAGCAGACCGCTTAAGTATAAAAAATAAATTAAAATCATCTGTGACACAAACACGTACAACAGTAGGTCTCATCTCCAGAGTGGCCTCAACAGACTAAACATGAATTTAAAGCAATAGGAATATAAGGGGCATCCATACAGACATGAAAAATGAGCTAACTAGTCTAAGCAGAGAGGAAACAGAGCTAAAACATCTTAAAAGGATCTAAATCACTGGTGGAAAGCAAATGAAATGTGCCGCTGAACAACATGGACTAGTTCAGCTCCACCGCAGGAGGCAAAGGGAGTGGCAGTAAATGAAGTCTCCCTAAAGCCAAGTGGAACGAAAAAGTCAGCCGGCAAACTCAAGCAGGATGATATGGTGGGGGTAATGGATCATAATCCAATGAACCTGTTTGGTATAGGCTGATGAAAATGTTGGTCTTTCGTAATGCCGAAATTGATGTAATTCAGTGTTTCTTGATGTACACACCGATAGAGGTCCTTAAAATGAACATTTTATTTAAACGTTTCTCATTTGGTTTTAAAATAGACATTTACTTTTTATCTTTCTCTCACTAGTACAGATATAATCCCTCCCAATCCCAACCGTCCAATAGAAATCTATATGTGAATACTGTGGTGTGTAACCTGGCAAGGGTGAATGTCTTTATATATTGAGTATCTGTGAAGTCGCACATCTAAAAGTCCTTAAGCGGCTCACAACGACACAGTTGAGTTCACTGGCAAAACGGTGACGCTGTGGGGTCAAAGCCTTTAAAAACGTCTTTTAGAGAGGCATTGTCCTGTTCTGCCACGTCAGGCTGCGCGGGGCTATTGCCACCAAACGGGCTGCCAGTGCCGCTAGGTTTGTTGACCTGCTTTACCATGGTGAACAATGTGGATACAGGAAGGTTGTGGACTCCTGCAGGCTGCTCTGCAGAACAAGCTGGGCCCTGACCAGCTGCAGATGGACTGCCTGTAACAGGGGCCCCTGCAGCAGTCCCAGCATTGGGCGAAGGTGAAGGTTTGGGTCGAGGGCGGTTGTAGCTGTTGTAGCGATCCGTAGTCTGTTCCGCCGAGCTCTTCTCTGGTTCTGGCTGGTCCAGTGCAGACTTGCGCACAAACAGGGGCTCTTTAGACTTGGGTTTAGATGTAGTCGCTGTACTTTCACTTGACTTGGGCTCAGGGGGAGGACTAGTGTTTCTAGGGGCCCCTGAACCCTCTGCCTTGTCTGAGCCCTGAGTCCGAGGGTCGTACAGACTGATGCCGCTCAGCACGCTACTGCTGCTGCCGCCGCTACCTACACTGCCAGCACCCACACCTCGAACGGACCCTCCTGCTGATAGCAGCCGTGGGTCGTACGGTGCAATGGTGGGGCTGGAGGAAGGTGGAGATAAGGAGACAGCTGGGGGAGATCCTTGAGGAGCAGATGCCTCCAAAGTGGACTTAAGAGCAGATTTTTGAGGCTGGAGTCGGGGGTCGGCAGGGGCTTTTCGTGTCATGCGAGGGTCAACAGACTTCTCGGCCGAGACGGACGGAGGTGATGAGATTCCTGTGGAAGTGCCTTGAGAAGGGCTGGATGAAGTGGCGTTGACAGTTTTAAGGATGCGGGAGAGCAACTCAAAGTCTGGAAGGGAAGAGGAGGATTGATTCGACTGCTCATCAGAAGGAACAGTAGGAGGGAGAGAAACGGAGTGGTGCTGGGGCTGTGTGCGTGACAGACGAGGATCCATGGCGGTAACTGGAGGGATGCCAGGGGGCAAAGGGAGCAAGTCTTGTTTAGGAATGGGAATAGGGATGAGGTCTTCAGGACTCCACAGCACTGCCTTAGAAAATGAAGGCTTGCTCAGTACTACATCCTTTTTGATGTGGCTGAACTGCTGTAGTTGGGAGCGGGGATCACGCAAAGCCATGCCCATTAAAGGGTCAAGGGGAATGGGCACGGGCTTGTCCCTCAGCATTCTCTCACCCTCCTCTTCCTCATTACTGGCTGGGGTGGTCAACGGCGGGGGTTTATACACAAATGGGGGCTCTGGTTTAGGGGCATGGGTGGCTGCATGCCGGGCAAGACGGGGGTCTGAAGGGGTAGGAGATAGAGAGGATGAAGCACTGGCTTCAGGTGCCTGAGAGGAGTCTGTGCTGCGGGGTAGACGTGGGTCTCGTGCCAGTCGGGGGTCTGCTGGTCGGCTGGGTGCCTGTGCAGGCTGAGACTTTTGTAGACGAGGGTCACTAGGAGCTCCATCCGGCTTGGCAGGGCCTTGGGACTGGGTTTGTTGCCGCAAGGTTTTGAGAATGGAAGTGACACTGCCACCCCCGTCCTCATCGTCACTGGAATACCAGTTTGCTGAATCTCCTACAAGTAAATGGAAGTGCAGAGATTCAGAGATCAATGTGATTTTCTTTTACTGGTAATATCATCTGAAACATCAGCCTCTGTAAGTTTCACTCGGTGCAAGAAAGCACCATCTAGTGGAGGGACAAGATTTTTTTGTGGCAAGATTGCACAGCCCCAGGCCAGAGAATGTTTACAGTATTATGAGGTCCTGGGCAGGGTCAAGCTTTGAGCAGAGCCCTTGAGATGTTTCTTTCCCAGAAATAGCCTTGGCAACATATACATTTGAAGTTAGCGCTTTGAAAACCTCAGCTATTTGTTTGACACAAATGTTATGTAAATCTAAAAAAAGGCATAGCTTTTATACAAAAATGTTCAATTTTTACCAAAGTACTTTACAAGACTTTGGTAAAAATGTAACATTCTTGTATAAAAGCTATGCATGTTTCTGCAGAAAATTTGTGTCATATGATATTGTATTAAATGGTGCAAGCCCAGGCAATGTTTTGCATCAGTACCTTCATTCTCCCTCTCAGTTCCTCCTCCTTCAGCCAGCCTCCTGGCTCTCTCCTCATCCTCCTGTTGTTTCTGCTGGAGTCTCATAAACAGCACACGCTGTGTTGGGGGCAGGAAATCTGGCACTGCTATCCCAGGCTGATTAGAAGGGCCTACATTAGCTGCACCCTCTATGCTTCCAGAGTTCTGTTTCCCAGATGACTGATCATTGAAGTTTCCACCACCCACACCTTGAAAGTTGTCACCTGTACCGGGAGGCGAAGAATGAAGCTGAATACTAGTTTCATGTCTCAGAGGTAGAACAGAGTAGGACAATAAAGCAGCTCACATTAGTTCAAATGGTAGAGCATGGTGCAAGCAACAACAAAGACATGAGTCCCACTCTCCGGTAATGCAAGAACTGATAGAAGTCCATTTAGATAAAAACTTCTAAATGATGCTTACATGCAACTGTGCTTTGCTCTGAATTTACAGAAAAGAATAGGGCTGGGTATCGATTCAGATGTCCCGATTCGATTTCGATTCGCAAGCTCTCGATTAGATTCGATTCCATTCAGTGAATATAGTTTTAATACAAATGCTATTGATATTTCTAAAAAAATGAACAGTAAACATCAGTTTACAAATGGTGAATTAATAAAAAGAAATTAAGCCACATGTCTGTATTTTAAACCTATATTTTTTTTATATGGGTCCTTTTTTAAACAATAATAGGGCCCTATAAAATTTTCTTAATTTTTCTGGTAATCAGATGAAGGCATAAAACATTAATTTAATTTATCCTAATCAAATGAAAATTAAACCCTTTTATTTTTTGGCAAACAAAGTGCTGCACAACAGAGGTTTACTGTTAAAATTAAAAAGAAAACAGATGTGATTACTCCTTTAAAAATAAATATTTACTAATATTTATTAGCAGTAGTAGCATTGATTCTTAAGACTGCTAAATAGTAATATATTCTGACAGTAGAACGTAAAACTAAACTTTTATTTTGATGGGTTGCTGTGAAGAACTTCCAGCTGCTGTGTATGTGATATGATGGTAGTTCCCTCTCATAGGCTCACTTTGATGCTGCGATGACGCTATCACTTTGGGAACACCTTCGGTGTGACGAATGTCTGAAGCCCTTATACCATCACACCAATTTATTGGCCAAATAGCGCTTAGCACCGCCCCCAAAGCGCACTTAGGTGAGCTATATAGCGTGCTGTGCGCTATTTTCATCAGATTTCATTTCCTTCAGGAAGTGAATCACCTGTCGCCCGTAGGAAAGCAAAAAAAATAAATAATAATTTCTTGGCTATTTCTCAAAAAAGAGCAGTTTACTCCTCTTCAGCGGACACGATGAGCTACAGGAGATGCATCGAGCCGTGTGACAGGTTCATCGCAGGAGGAGACACTCATGACAGGTGCGAGAAATGTTTGGGCCTACAGCATGCCCAAGCGGCACTTGGCGGCCTTTCTGATTGTCGACACTGTGATAGCATAGGTTCGCGGACTTCTCAAATAAAGTAGTCTAACCCCCCGGTTGCCAAGACGCCGCACGAGACGGTCGCTTGGGGTGACGCATGCGAGCCGAGGCGTTTAGAGGGCTTGTCAACGGAATTTTCTCCTTTTCTCTCGCTCTCTCCGGGCCATGTGCAAGCACTCGAAGAGCGCTACGGGGATCCCGTGGTCTTCATTAATGACAATTTGCGGCCTACCCCGGAAGCTCGCGATGCAATGTCTTTCGGTTGTATGCCGTATGATGAAGACGTGCTGTCCACAGCAGCCTCCGATTCTGAGGATTTATTGGGCGAACTGTGCAGTTCTCTCCCTCCGAGTGGACAGGAGAAACGCACTTCCCCGTCTTACAGCAAACTATTAGACGTTGTAATGCATGCTGTAGATAAGCTGGGTTTAGAGTGGGATAGCGAGCCGGCGCAAACTCAGTCCCAGTCGAAACTGGACGATCGATTTTTGTCCAGCCGCACTCCGTCTCAGCCCCGTAGGCCTCTCCCCTTTTTCCAAGACCTCCACTACAAGGTTTCGAGGTCTTGGAAACAACATTTTTCGGCGCGTATCACTAATCCCTCCGCCGCTGATTTCGCCACGGTTTCTAAAATGGCGGCTCACGGCTACGCCGGCCGAAGAAGAGACTCTCGCGACACATCTCGTGCCAAATTCCGCTCCGCCTTGGAAATCACGCCCTCTGCTACCATCCAAGCCGTGTAGGGTTACTTCCGCTTTGATCGGAAAATCTTACATGGCCGCTGGGCAGGCCGCAGCTACACTCCATTCTATGGGTGTACTCCAGGCTTATCAGGCAGACGTGCTCAAGGAGCTGGATGAGGGAGAAGGCTTGACTCCAGAGGCCGTTAAAGAGCTCAGACGAGCTACTGACTTGGCGCTTAGGGCTACCAAGCACACAGCTCAGGCAGTGGGCAGGTCCATGGCAGGGTTAGTGTCAGCTGAGCGCTATCTTTGGCTTACTCTCACTGACATTTAAGAGAAGGACAGAACTTTTCTCCTGGACGCCCCCATTTCGAGTGACGGTCTGTTCGAAGACTCGGTCACTACGGTCGTGGAGAAATTTAGAGCAGCGAAACAGCTGTCAGCTGCGTTCTGTCAACTCATCCCTCGCAGGGCTAGGGAAGTGGAACGTCAGCCACCTGCGGCTCGCTCACGCTCTTCGTCCTTACAGCACCGCGAGGTCCAGCGGCATAAGCCACCGCCTAGGTTACCCCCTCGTAAAGACTGGGGTCCTAGGTCTCGCCCACCGGCTTACGCACGGCAACGCAAGCGAGTAGACCTGAGTTAGACAGCAAAGCCCTCTCGTCCTCAGGCCCCTAATAGCAGTTCCTGATTCCTCTTCTCGTCTTCGGAGGCCAGGCCCTCCTTTAGAGAGAGTGTACGAACCGCACAAGCGTATTCGACTCTCTCGCTGTGGCCTCCAGACCCGGATCTTGACGGTCCCGCCGCATATTGCGCCTCCGGCAGTTTTAGATCGAGTCCTTACGACAAGCACCTCCTCGGATACTCTGCGCGTTCCAGCCTTCAGAGTTCGAAAAAAAGCCCAAGGGTCATGCGACATGGCTGTTGGGGCAATGGGCAGGCCCGACAGAATCGGACATCTTCCCATTATAGTTTTTCCCGCTACTCAGGTGCTTCGGGATCCTATACGAGAAAATCAGATGTAAGTTTGAACTGTAGAACACCCAAGACCCCTGGCAGACTACTGGGCCGCGTGGAGACGCCTGCCCGATATTTCATGGTGGGTACTACGCACCATTCGACACCTGTACACTATCCAGTTTCGGAAAGGGCCACCTCCCTTCAGCGGGGTTCTCCCTACGACGGTACGTCCTGAGGATGCCTCAATTTTAGGTCAGGAGATAGTATCACTCCTAGAGAAAGGGGCTATAGAGGAGATACTCCCCACTCAGATGGAGTCAGGCTTCTACAGCCGGTATTTTGTTGTACCCAAGAAAGATGGTGGTTTAGGTCCGATTTTGGACTTACGTCGTCTAAACCTTGTGCTCAGAGTGAGCAAGTTCAAGATGTTAACAGTAAAGTCCATTCTGTCTCAGGTCCAATCCGGAGATTGGTTTGTGACCATCGATCTAAAGGATGCATACTTTCACATCCAGATCGTCAGGAGACACAGGAAGTTCCTCAGGTTTGCTTTCGAGGGCAAAGCATACCAATACTGTGTTCTTCCGTTCGGACTAGCTTTGGCTCCTCGAACGTTTACAAAATGCATGGACGCAGCTCTGGCCCTGTTGCGGCTCCAGGGCATCCGAATTTTGAACTACCTAGACGATTGGCTAATACTAGCTCAATCTCAGGATCAGGCACCGATACATCGAGATCTGGTACTCAATCATTTGAGGAGCCTAGGGCTACGGACGAACCTTCAAAAGAGTATTCTGCTGCCGTGTCGGCAGACAACCTTTTTGGGGGTGGCCTTGGACTCTTGCACAATGTGGGCATGGCTGTCTCCCGCTCGTGTGCAATCAATACGGACCTGTCTAGGTCAGTTCAAGACAGGGCGCGGAGTACATGTAGGCCTGTCTCTCAGGCGGTTGGGTCTGATGGCGGCAGCGTCCCCTGTAGTTCAGTTGGGCCTGCTTCACATGCGACCATTTCAGTGGTGGACCAAGAGCCAGAACATTTTGCATCACTGTCACCCGCTTCGCAGAATTACGGTGACACACAAAGGCTCTTGTACTCTAAGCCCCTGGATGAGACCCCAGTTCTTTCTGGAAGGAGTCCAGATGGGGACGTTGTGTTGTCGCAAAACGGTCCCGACGGACGTGTCCCTTACGGGCTGGGGAGCCGTCCATCAGGGACATCCAGTCGGTGGAGTCTGGACAGAGGTACATCGAGACTGGTACATAAACCGTTTGGAGATGCTTGCGGTTCTCCTAGCTCTCGAACAGTTCTTACCCCAACTGAGGGGTTATCATGTGTTGGTAAGGACAGACAACACGGCAGTTGTGTCGTACCTCAATTGTCAAGGGGGATTACGTTCTCGCCCCCTGTGCAGGCTGGCGAGGCGTATTCTTCTCTGGGCTCAGACAAAGTTCCTGTCGATCACAGCAGTCCATATCCCAGGTCGCCTGAACTCAGGAGCGGATCTGCTCTCGAGACAGAGTCTACAGAATGGGGAATGGAGATTGCACCCCCAGGTGGTGGATCTTATATGGCAGAGGTTCGGCCAAGCGAAAGTGCACTTGTTCACTTCGAGCATGACTACGCACTGCCCGCTTTGGTTTTCCCTGTCTCCCCCGTCGCCTCTAGATCTGGATGCTCTGGCCCAGGACCAGTCTTTATGCTTTCCCCCAATCCGTTTGCTCCCAGCAGTCCTATTCAGAATACGATCAGAAAGAGTGGAGCACCTGTTGCTGGTGGCCCCGCGGTGGCCCACTCAGTCGTGGTTCTCAGACCTGGTCAGTCTGTTAGCGGGCCCTTCATGGGAGGTTCCCCTCAGACACGATCTGTTGACAAGCTCAGGGCATGATTTGGCATCCTTGACCGGAATTATGGAGGTTATGGGTGTGGCCCTTGAGCGGAATATGCTAATGTGTGTTCTGGTCTCTTGGCTGAGATTACCGACACTATTATGAATTCTAGACGCTTCCCTCCACGAGACGCTTATATGCTTTCAAGTGGAGACTTTTTGCCTCTTGGTGTAGACAACGCACTTTGGATCCAGTTCACTGCCCTATAGGTTCAGTACTGGAGTTTCTTCAGAGTCATTTTTATGAAGGGGTTACCCCCGCCACTCTTAAAGTGTACGTGGCGGCCATATCGGCAGGACATGCACTCATAGGAGGTGCTTCGGTTGGTCGTCACACACTGGTGTCACGTTTTATGCAGGGTTCGAGACGGCTTAGGCCTTTCCGCCCAGCCCGAGTTCCTTCTTGGGACTTATCGATTGTGTTAGAGGGTCCGACAGGCCATCCCTTTGAACCAATGGAGTTGGTGTAAGAGAAGTTATTGACCATTAAGACAGTTCTTTTGGTGGCTTTATCCTCCCTTAAGAGAGGGTAGGGGACCTGCAGGCTCTCTCCATTAGTCCTTTGTGTATGGACATTGCATCAGGACTGGTAAAAGTCTTTTTGTGACCTAGGCCTGATTATGTTCCTAAGGTCGCTTCAACTGCGTTTCGCTTTCAGCAAGTGGTCCTGGAGGCTTTTTCCCCAGCTGAGAAGGGGTCAGTTGCCCTGAATCGCTGTCCGGTTAGGGCACTTAGGACCTACGTTGACCTCACGGCTCAGTGGCGTAGATCTGATCAGTTGTTCGTGTGTTTTGGTGGTAAGAACAGAGGATCCGCTGACACTAAACAGCGGATGTCACACTGGATCATGGAAGCTATTTCTTTGGCCTATGAGGCGCATGGTTTGACTTCGCCTCTAGGGGTGCGTGCTCATTCTACAAGAGCAGTGGCTTCTTCTCAGGCCTTCTTTAAAGGGTCTTCATCGGAAGATGTTTGTGCTACGGCAGGATGGTCCTCTCCTAGCACATTCATCAAGTTTTATAGTCTGGATGTAGGGATGGCTCCTGGCTCCCGGGTCTTATCCGCTTGAGCAGACGCTTTCCTTGGTCTTCTAGCTATCTACGGTACATCAGGCATTATGGTATAGCGTTCCCAAAGCGATGACGTCATCGCAGCATCGAAGTGAGCCTATGAGAGGGAACATCTCGGTTACGTATGTAACCTTGGTTCCGAGTAGGGGAACGAGATGCTGCGATGCTCGGCCGTTCCGTACCTTGATAGCGCTTCCTTTGTAATTCAGTGAAATCTGATGAAAATAACGCGCAGCACGCTATATAGCTCACCTACGTGTGCTTTGAGGGCGGTGCTAAGCGTTATTTGGCCAATGAATTGGCGTGATGGTACAAGGGCTTCAGACAGGGAGATGACATTCGTGTTCATATCATCATATAGTGAGATGGCAGAAGCTGAAAACACCGCGAGCGTCATCCGCGCTTTAGTATGTGTAAACAAAACAGCAATCCACCAGGCGGTGGAATTCATTCATTGCGGAAATCATGGCGCCTTGTGCGTGATATCAAATGCTTCTGCAAATTTATAGTATTACTATAGCATTTTACCTGAGCATTGCGATTCACGCGTATGGCCATGATAAGCGCTGAATGAATGACAGGCTTTCTGTTGAAAATCGCGCATGGTAAATAAGGGTGACATCTAGTGGAGAAGACTAATGATAAGATTCACGTTAATCAGGTCTTGTTTTAAATGTGTGCTGAAATAAATCCCGGAAAAGATCGATTCGCAGCTTTTCAGAATCGATATCGAATCGACGTCATTTAAAAAAACGATCAAACGAAAAATCTATTTTTTTGCCCAGCCCTAGAAAAGAAGTTACAATACAACATGAACTCACCATCTCTTCCACCTCCATCTATCGACATGGCTTGCTGCTGCTGGTAGAAGTTATCATAGAAGTTGCTACCAGATGTTCCACCACCTGGAGGCATTATGCCTGGGTTTGGTGGTCCATCTCCCTGGCCAAAGTTCTGCATCATTGGCGGTCCTGTACCTATTGAAGGAGGGCCTTGGTTCATGTTAGATGGGCCCATCGGAGGCATATCATGAGGACCGCCTGGACCCATGTGTCCTGGTGGTGGGGCCCCAGGAAAGCGAGGTGGAGGTGCACCTGGGGGACCTGCAGGAGGTCCCTGAGGTCCTGCAACACCTGCAGCAGCATTGCCAGGACCTGGTCCTCTGTAAAGAATACATCTGTGTCAGTATATTCTGTATGTGGCTAGTAAGTAAACCAAGATGACTTGACAAAGAAAAAGATAGCTAACCTGACACCCAGTTTTTGTGCAAGCTGTCCTGTGGGCTTGACCACAATCTCAAACAAGGATGGAATCTTCTTTCCAGCATTTCCTCCACAAACAGGTGGTGGACCCATTGGTGGAGGAGGACCACCATTGGGGTTTGGTGGCCCTTGGAAGGTGCCTCCATCTGGGCAGGGAGGAGGGGGGCCTGGGCATGGTCCAACTCCAGGACCAGGAACAGGGCCAGCACCAGGGCCTGGAGCCGTTGGACAGCTTGGAGGGATATTACCATGTGGGGCACCAGGCATTCCAAAGTCCATGGGTGCAGAGGAGTCCCCTGGGGTAGGTCTTGGTGGAGTTGGGAGAAGGCCAACACCAGGGGGTGGTTTTGGAAGAGGGTTAATGCCTTGCTTTTTAAGTTCCTCAACCTCTTTCTCATCTTCTGCACCAGCTTCTGCATCCTCTGCCAGCATCTTCAATGAAAAATAGGAGCATTGTTACTCTAAGTGCACAGAAACAACAATGAGAAAACCACATCTCAATTTAAAATATCTGTGAAGATCACCTTATCAAGCAGCTCTTGAGTATCTTCTGTTAGGTTCTCATGGGAGAACATACACTCCTCACCATTCACACAGTTCCCTGTGGTATGGAACAGCTTGCAAGGGAAATCACGTGCAGTGGAGTCAAGGAGTTATTTCCACAAGTAAAAATTCTTCAGAGTGCTGTGATCTGTACTTTTAAAATGTTCTTATATAGATAATAAGTGCCAATGAGAATACCAGCAAGCAAAATGACCAAAGGATATCATGCATGTAGGGACAGTTTTCTGCTCGTGCACAGAAGCCAGTGATGTAGAACTTGCAGAGTTCTTTCTTCTTAGGCAGCTCAATGTCATGACTGAAGTTACAGTGGTCACCCTGATGATACATTGACAGCATTTAGTACAGAAATAACTCATGTTGTCCACAAAGTAATATGTGATTTTGCATCATCTTACTATTCAGACATAATTGATTTAAACATACAAAATTTTCTTTTAATAGTATCAAAAAACAAAGACATCTAGATTACAACCAATTTTATCTGTAACATCTTCCAAAGTTAGTTAACTGTGCTTACCCATGTACAGCGGCCCTCAATATAGTATTTACAGATGGCTTTCCCCTTCTTGTCCGGCCCATGTTTCTCCTGATCATTCCTCCTCGGGCCTCCAGATCCATCCTAAAGCAGTCAGAGAACAAATTATTCAGATGCTAATTTATGTTCTGTTGATTAAGTATGAACCACGTGTATCATCTGAAGAACTGTCTTACCCCCATGTCCATATCTCCGCCGTTATCTTCATCGGGACCTTGGTCTCCTCCACGGCCCCTCCCTCGATTTCTCCCTCTACCCCGGTTCATTCCTCGACCTCCTCTGCCTCTTCCGCGACCTCGCCCACCTTTTCCACCTTAAGAAAAAAAAATACGAAATTACAAACACTCAAACAAATAATGCTTTACTGAGATGCTTATCTGAGATTTAGGTTTAGTCTTACATCTATTATTCAAGCAGAACTCACCTCGCCCTCTGTCCTTTGATTTCCTGTACTGATTCAGTTCTTTTGAGTAGTCATCATAGTCATCGTCACCCATGTTGTCATAGTCATCATCTCCATACTGTCCAAAAAATAAAAAAGGTTAAGTAAAAGACAAACTGACTGAATTAATTTTTATAATTTACCAAGTAATAATGACCGACAGGATAATCCCAGGTATGGTATAGATGGGATATCTGACGAATCATGTCTTTTCCAGTTATTTATGATTTTTAGAAAATAACTTTTAGAGACTGTACTCGCAAAATGCAATTTTAGCAACTTTGTAGCAGAGCTATATTTCCAATAGAAATTCCAATGGCGTTTTCTTAAGATTTTGGTAATATCCTTTTCTAGGCTTGGAAATCAAAAAATATTCTGATAATAACTTGATAAAGTTAATAACTTGTGACCTAGGACCCACCTCCATCTCATCTCCGTACATGCCATCACCATCATCATTCTCTCCTCCCATTTTTCCCCGTCCTCTCCCTCTGCCTCCTCCTCTTCCACCACGTACCCTCATTCCTCTGCCTCGACCTCTCTGGTTCTTCATGCGGTTTTTGCCACCTGTGTGACAGTAAAAAGGGTCAGCAGATGTATCACACAAATGCTGACACACTTCTTTTAGTCAGAAAATAAAGTATGCAGACACTGAACATGTGATACTTGTCATACTTTACATACTTGATATTGTAACTAAAGGTCAAACTCCAAACATCTACCTGATGATTAATATGCATCCAAACATTCAGCCAAGACCATTCAAGCAAAATTATTGCTTTGAAATTAACATTCACCTCTGCCACGTGGACCACCTCCAACCTCTTTGGCCTTGCGGTATTGGTTCAGTTCCTTAGTGAAATCATCATAGTCATCATCACCCATGCCCTCATCCTCTTCACCTTCATATGTTTCCTCCTCGTAGTCATCATAGCCACCATACCCCTGCTTGTCCATCTTCATATAGCCACCTTTCTTTGGCATGGGACCTCCATGACCAGAGGGAGCAGGAGGGTAACCTCCTTGAGACTAAAAATACAGACCAAAATACAGGCTGGGATTAAAACCCAATCTGATTGGCTGGCCGGCCGGTCTAGGAAGTTCTTGTGTTATGAGAGTTACTTTAAATAAATCAAGACCTGACCAAAAATAATGTTTTACTCACAGTGGGAGGATATTGAGGGCTATATTCCCTGTACTTCCTCTTTTCACTGGGACTGTAATCTGATTCATCACTGTAGTCCGAGTGGTCATCGCTGGAGGATGCGTGACGCTGCATTAGACACAAATACATTTAAGACGACGATATAAATGTTTGTGTAAGTAGGACTTTTTCAAAATAAAATAATTTTATTCTGCAAGGATACATTAAAATGATCAAATGTGACAGTAAAAACATTTATAATGTTACAAAAGATTTCAATTTCAAATTGAACAACATTTTATTCATCAAAAAATTCTGAAAATCACAGTTTCAACAAAAAAATTAAACAGCATCAACATTGACAATACCAAGTAAAGTTTCTTCAGCAGCAAATCATCACATTAGAATGATTTCTAAAGGATAATTTGTAGTGGTCAACCGATATATCGCCGTTAGGGATGTAACAATTAACTGCAAGCTGGTTGAAAATCTATTTAAATATGTGACGATTCAAATCGGTTGAGATGCATAACAAATCGCGATTCAGTTAGGGGTAGGAATTTATATGAATGTATGTCTGAGGGGAATTTACTGTCTTTTGATGCAACCCTCTACATTGCAAGTAAATCACTTGCATATGCGACTAAATCTTACTCTGGGCGACTCAATAATGTCTAACATTAGCCATTGGCTAATAAATTCTTAGATTTTACACGCCAGTATGTGTGTGAGAGGCTTTCAACACATATTTTCACTCGATAAACACGCTGACTGAGCGCTTGAGAGTTTCGCTCTCCGTCAAGCGATCTGTACTATTTGGATGCGCTCAGTGGATCATGTACTCAATGGATGCGCAGTATGTAGCACGCAGCGCAACTGTATTTGATGTACCGTAAACTAGTGTGAAGGTGCACGACTCGCCGTCACTTTACTGATAGCACTGTGTTTCTCACACATGCAAAGAGAGAGAGCGAAAGTCTTCCATACCACGCTGAATCGATGCGCTACATGTAAACCATATTCTTTGTTGTATTTTCCTGTCAAAATAACAGAGTTAATTTAGAATTATTCAGTTTTTAAGAACAAGCAGCAGATATGCTGGTTTCTCATCTATTACCGTCCCTGTTTTGATTTCAGCAAATCAGTTAGAGCGAACGCTGACAACGTGATTAATATTCAATGACCCAGCAGATAATAGTAGTAGTATCTTTTAATAATAATTACTATTACCTATGACCAACAATATCTTAAACACCAACTCCAGTCCTAAGTTCAGTTAAAATGACAAATATGCATTCATTCATGGTTACCAAGTTTTAGTTCTAATCACTAGTTCTATCATTAAATAGTGCTTAATTATCATAATATCATAATATAATGCTTGATTGGCCGAAGTTAAGAGTGCACATTGTTATTCAAGAAGCTGTTCCATTTTACAAAGATAAGCTGATTGGATGGAATCATATGTGTGTGTGTGTGTGTGTGTGTGTGTACACCTACTTAACCATATTTTGGGGACAAATTTGTACCCAAAAGTGAGCAAAGCCTGACAAAGTCGGCAAAAACCTCAATTTGTGGATGTCCTCCATTTGTAAAACTGTTAAAAAAATAAAGTAAAAGTTTTATTTTTTTACTTTTGAAATGGTAAAAATGCAGAAAGTTTTCCGTGAGGGGTAGGGGTGGGTTTAGGTTAAAAAGTGTTTAACTATCTGTATATGAAAACAATAGAAGTCTATGTAATGTCCCCATTTAAATAGCTAAGTAAATGTGTGTAAAATAGTATATCAGTCTGGCGAGTAAACAAACAAAATGTACTAGCCAATGGCGATTATATTGCCAAGGTGTGCATAGAGGGTTGTGATGGTATTTTTTATTTTTCTCTTGCCTCTGTATAATGCATATTAAAGTTCATAAGTGCAGCGCTGCTTTGTTTACAGCGGAAACCAAGGAAATGCTTTAAGCGCCACCTGCTGGCAGAGAGTGAATCTGCGTCTCATTCAGCTCTGCTGTTTCTGTTTCATGCAGATATTTTTTATGTATAGTTTCACAAAACTGAAGTCAAACCATTCTGTTTTTGCTTCAAATTTCGATTAAAAGAGTTTGATTTTTGTAATTTAGATTAAAAACTGCTCATGTTGCATGCATGCAGCATCTTTATTTGGATCATGATTAAATGCAGTGGTTGCCTCTAATTTTAAAAGGAAAGATCACAGACAAAGACTTAGTTTGTTTATACGAAGAGATTTATTTTATTTGTGTTATTTATTTGATTTGGGGCTTGTTTTAAAATAAAAAATTAGTTTTGTTATTTACATTTACATTATATTTAAATTTTGTTATTTAGCAAACGCTTTTATCCAAATCGATTAACAAATGAGGACAATAGAAGCAATCAAAACCAACAAAAGAGCAATAATTTACAAGTGCTATATTAGTATATTATTATAGTGTCATATTTCAATTTCACAAAGAGACGTACAGTATTTTGTCCAAGCAATAATAAAAGGACACATTTAATTGATAATTTGGGTTAAATCTCATTTTGTTAAAAAAACCAAATTGTGAAATCAAAATCGTAAATTGAATCGTGAGTTGAGTGAATTGTTACATCCCTAATCGCCGTGGCCGATATTTTGAATTTTAAAATATCGGCATCAGCCAATAAGTCTTTCCGTGTGGCCGATGTTTTTCAAAATGGATTATGACACCATTCCTCTTTAAAACAAGCCACTGAGATGTGAAGCCAGCACCTGACAGACAGTAAAATGACCAATCGTCATTCACTTTCTAATGTGACACTACTAGAGCTGCCCTCGACTAAAGATTTTTCTGGTCGACTAGTATTCGTTAATTTTAAGCATTAGTCGACTAATTGCATGTTTATTAATAAACCATTTAAATCATGCTAATGAGCCTTTAATTGCCAACATAGCCTAATAAGCACTCAAGTGCATGCATAAAGCTTGCCACAGCACACTGGCAGAAGTAATGTGACCGGGAAAACAGTAAAATTAAACTGCATTAACATTTTAATAATCTATTGATAAACTAGTGTTTTCGGCTAAAGAGATGAATTTGGCGACACTGACTCGTCATCTCCACAGTAGTGGATGCGCTTGCATGCAAGTTTCATACGGATGACATAATCTGAGAATATTTGTTTTATTTTCAGATTTGAATTATTTCATTTGAAAGTAGACATTTCACTCTCTATAGATATATTTTTCATGTCTGTAAGGCAAGTATACACGGAGTTTCGCGCTCAAGTTCACAGAGGCCGAGACGGCAGAAAGCACATCCTGTTTGCTTTCATTATTTTACAAAAGCGCAATGTTTTGTTGTTATAGTGAGTGCACACAAATAAACGTAGAGGCTTTACAGATTCGAAAGATGTATTACTCTTATCTGTATGACAAAAATGACTAATGTATTTTAAGAGCAAGTGACTGCACTGCACTCACTTGCTACTGCTACTGTTCAGCTTTCACACTCCGCATGAGTTAAATATATGAGTGTCACAGCAAAGGGTCTGAATACTTAGGACCATGTGATATTTCAGTTTTTCTTTTTTAATAAATCTGCAAAAATGTCAACAATTCTGTGTTTTTCTGTCAATATGGGGTGCTGTGTGTACATTAATTAGGAAAAAAACTTAACTTGAATGATTTTAGCAAATGGCTGCAATATTGTTAAGAGTGAAAATTTTAAGGGGGTCTGAATACTTTCCGTACCCACTGTAAATTTGCTACTACTTACATATTTCAGATGATAAGCCATATTTGAGGTCAATGAATGATAGGCGAGCGTTTGGATGTAACGTTACTGTATTACCACAAAATCCAGCCATTAACAATCTGTCCGTCATGGACTGCGTGACCTCACCACTTCCTGTGGATTTTTTTCTCTCCTGCGACTAATACAATTTTGGTCGACCAAGGCTCTTCTCGTCGACTAATGGTTAGTCGACTATTATAGGGGCAGCCCTAGACACTACGCTCTGTTACATACAATAACAACATGCAGCAAAGTCTTATTCAAACGTACTGTGAGACATCAGATCCACAGTCCAGCGGCAGCTCCGGTGGGAGACTGTGCTTGAACTAATTAAAAAAATGTAACCGTGTTTACCTCACAGACAATAAAAAATCCCACGAATGGCTCTTCCTCAGATATGCGCATTGTTCTCGGGTACTTCTAAACAAGACACTGTTTTCGACATGAAAACTCTATGTTAAGTAATAATAATAATACGTTTGAATACCTTTACATGTTTATCAGGAATATCTGCTGTACTTGATTGCCCATGATTGGCATAATATCACGTGAAGCATACCTTTTCATATGTTCTGGTCTTATTTAATTATATATACTGATAACAAAGCATTTAATTATATGCCTTCAGGCTTGTATTATTTTTGCAATGAAACAGACAAGCAAAACGAAACAGATCAGAGACATAAATCTTTATAATTAACCAACTATCCCATACTATAATTAAAACAACCTGTTGCTCGGTAAACTAAACATGGAATTACACATACTATTTTTGACAATAATTTATGAATATTAATGAATGTTAGAAAGGCTGCACTAAACCTTGTTCATTTAAGTGTTACCTCTGTTGTTTACATTTTAATTGTTTAGGTATTATATATTTTTTGTAGACGTTTCAGCAAAAGAAAAGGAAAGGCTGCACTAAATGTTACTTCAATTGTTAAATTTTTTTAAATTTAGGTTTTAATAAATATTTATGCATAATATATGTTCATTTAGTTTCACCAATTATCTGCATGTCTCTCATTTACTGTAATTACGTGTATTATATCGGCCAGATTGATTTCTCACTATTGACCTTAATCATGTGACACTGAAGACTGGAGGAAAGGTTGCTCAAATTCAGCTTTGCCGTCACAGGAATAAAATACATTTTAAAATATATTAAAACAGAAAGTGTTATTGTAGTAACATTTCAAGATATTAACTGTTTTACTATATTTCGATCAAATAAATGCAGTTTTGGTGAGCATAAGAAATTATTTTCAAAAACACTTACCTTGTGCTTTGATTTACGCTTTTTCTTGGCCCTCCTTTTTTCTTTTTCACGCTCTCTCTCTCTCTTTCTTTTTCTCTTCCGCCGATGTGACTTTTCATCATCTGATTCACTGGCATGGTGCTCCTTGCTTCGGCGAGGTTTATCCTGGGCATCAGCTCCCTCACCGCTGGGCATCTCTGCCTCTCCGCCGTCATCCTCCAACTCGCCTTCTTCAAGTTCCACATCTTCTTGCCTGTTTGACAAAATACAAAAAGAATGTCACAACTCTGAAAAGACTACGCAGGAAATTACTTTTTTTCTTTTTGACTCACTGCCAATGGAGAACTCTTATTTGCTTCTTAGTCTATGATAACTGGTTACTTGCATAAAGGATACTGTTGTGATAAACTGTGCAGAACAGAACATTCAATCTATTAATTGCTTTTTAGCTGGCCCTTCATTCTTAATTCTGACATGATGATTTCCACTGGTCTGGCTTTTAACAATTCACTTGTCATTACAGTGTAAATAACTAAGCAAATTGAGATGTCTTAACTGATCTTCAAACATTCAGACTATAGACAGTGAGCATTGAGCTGAAGGGCAAGAGAGATCTCTTTATAAACAGGGCTGCCAATCTACAGACGCAATACTGTAATTTAGTTGCTTCAATCTTCACACTAAGGGTGTCAAAGGTTCACTGCTCATTTGTGCCCTGCTGAGAACAACTCAAAGCCACTCAGCTTATAGATCTAACACAAAAGGTTATACAGGATAAATATTACATTTAGGCAGGCCAGCCCTTTAAAACTCATATCCAGCGATAAGGAGTTGCCACATAAGACAAAGAAGCACTGCTGCACTTTTACATTGTGCATTGACAAAACATTATCACCTAATCACTCAACTTTGGCCTATAAAAAAACAGGTCTGTGCAATGCAACTTCTGACACGAGCACATGTGCTACCAGATGAACTGCAGTGCAAAGCAGTGGGTGAGATATAATTCAAATAATACAAGATTAAATTATTACCACAAAAGGTAAATCAGCTGACACATCTACATAATGCTTATAATGTATATCAGTCTCTTTAACTGGTACAAAAAAGCAATCAGCAAGCGATGACAATTTAATACCCCCAGACATGTTACAAACAGTCTAAAGTCTGCATGATGATCGTAACAATCCACCCATTTCTATAAGCTTTACTGAAAGACAAAACTTATTTTCCTTAACTTCAAATCTTCAACTTATGTGGATATTTTTCAAGGTTCTTCCAAAGCTTTTCACAATTACAATAGATATACAAACTCCTGTTTCATTTGACTGTATGAATTATAACTTTAATTTAATGAGGCTAAACTTGTCATCTGCTTCTCTGTTAGTAATATCCTAAAGTACTACAGAGGGAATTCATTCATGAATTATCACTGCATTAACTACAAATCCCTTCGTCTCTATCAGCCACAATAATTTATAACATGTTGTGAATAAAAATCTACAAGCTTTAGCAGTTATCTAAGAGAGGGTGAAGAGACCTCAACCACAACTTCACTTGCATGCATAATCTTTCACTCCTGCGAGTTATAGAACATACTGAAGTGATAAAAAAATATGGTCAGACACGGACCAGACAATATATTATAAGGGCCACACTTGTATTACTTATTATTATGCACCTTGGGGGAAACTGACAACTGCTAAAAAGAATAGATTGCTTGTTCATATAAAGTGTTGGCAGACAGTTTGACAAGTACCTCTAGTTAAAAAAAATTTTAACAAATTTTGTTTACTGTAAGTATCCAACAAGGCACATTTCAAGGCAAAGAAAATCAAATGTGTTGGCCTTTAAATTTCTAGCAATGAACTGAAAATACTTACTGTGAAATACTAATTTATGCATAAATGACTTTCAAGGGAGGTGAGATGTTGCATTTTGGGCACTTGCAGACAATGGTGGTTTGGTTAAGCACCTTTGTGTTTTGCTTCATGTGTTGGTAAGAACTTGAATGCTTTTGAGACACTGGAGAAAGCACTGGCTCATGAGGGATGCATGTGCACATAAAGCTAACTAGTTCACAACAAAACTAGAATATGAAAAAAACAGGGGAACCTATTATGGAATATGTAACAAATTATTAACATACGTTACTACATTATTTTCTACTGTCAACAAATGAATCGACGTGGAGTACTTGAGGAACAGTATTTAAACTTTAAAAATAAAGGAACAAATAATTTCCATTAATAGTTCGTATCATTAAAATGTCGCAAGTTAAATTAATGAGACGTTAAAAATGTGATTTATTTCGTAAATAGCTTTACGAAATAAATACTCAAAATAACAGTAAACTCCAAGAACTTACTATTTGAAAATATATCGGTATGATTATATTAACGTTAAGTTACTTTGAAAACAAACGCAAAACTCAAACATGCAAAACACTAAAGGAATAAGCACATATATTTAAGTCATTTTAGTGACGTCTCCAATAAATCTAAGTGCGTAGCACATGACATTTAGCACGTATGCTAAGTGCTAAACTGTTACAAATTAACACCGCCTAGTGAAAATATCGATATTACGTAAAGATAAACTCAATCGTACAATATTCGATGACTAATTGAATAAAATAAAAGAATGATTAATCAAGTGGACAAGTTATAAGCCATGCTAGTCCGTCGCTATTCATTAGCCGTGTTGTTGTATTTCAATTGTAGTCATCTGCTAACTGTTAGCAATGCTAGCTTTAGCGTTGTTCGGGCCTCGCGATGGTTAAACATACAAATTCCTAAATGCGTTAGCAGGGATGTCTTTTGCCATTTTCCCACCACATTACATACAGTTTGCGTTTGGCATCAAGTCGAATTTTAGTTTCATGTTATTAACCAAAAACGTGTTTTTCTTTTGTCCGTCTGTTCTCTATCTGTGATGAAAACGCGGAGTTACTGGAGCAATGTTTTGGCGTAGTGGTGGCCCCTTGATCTTCGATCGCTTAAAAAGCTTCGATAAATTACTGAAAATGTAAATTTGATCATATTCTGAATGTTTTCCTGATTCGCTTGTGACCTTCCAGATTGCGCTGTGTAACGTTCAAGATGGCGTTTCGTTACCTCTGTACGCTTCCCAGAAAATGCGACTTTAATCCCTTTGAAAGAAAAAAAAGCAAATGCCCGTGCTTTTTGTTTTTGAAAAAAAAAGCAAAGGACAAATCAATAGTTGGATAGAAATATGATGATATTACTCGACCTTTCGTCAGTGAGAAGACTGTTGTGTTCGTGGTTGGCTGTTGGGGAGTTTGGATGGACAGTCATGCTTTCCACAGCCATTTCCTCTAACGTACTACATTCAGTGCAAAAAATCAACTGTCTTATGCGTTACTTGACTTTGATCTACTTGTTGATTGGCTTTAGGAAGAGATTCAGTTCATAGTAGTCAATTCCCCACTAACAGTTTAAAAGAGAAACAGGTTGAAAACGTTCCTGAGGTTCTCCGTCCTACAGTTGCGATGTGAAATGAAACTCAGTCACTTAAAATGGCGACGCTTCTTCTCCGAGGAGAAGGGGCGGGCTTTTGCGACGTGACGTCGTCTGTCACGGAAATGACCGAGCGGGTCACGAACAGCAAATACGGGGTTTTTAACTCGAATCCACAATTCATTTTCTGATTTTTTGAAGTTTCAAGATCTATATGTTCTTCATAAAAAAACAAAAACAAAAAAAAACAATAGCTATTGAGGGGTACAAATATGATTTCAGTTTCTTGATTGCATTTTTTTCAAAAATGCATTTTTGCATTTTAAGTTAGGTTAAATAATTTTATGTCCCCTTGTAAGTTTACTCAAGCCCCCTGGCTGAGATTCACTGTTTTAAATGGCCAGTCAACAGCAGCTTTAGTTATTATTTAGCCTAGATATTTACGCTGTGACACATTCAATTGTTTCTGAAATAGTTTTGTGTAGACTGTTTAATTTTTTTTTTTTTTGCATGATAGGACTTGGTGTTATGATCCCAATATTCTACCCAGTATTTTGTGAGCATGCACCAAGTAAACAATAATTTAATGATATAAACTGTGGTGTACACTCCAGTAAACATATTGTATCTCCTTGTATAGTTAAGATTACTACTAGGCTATTTTGTAGATTACAATGCTAAATTATGTTTAAATGAAAACCAATTTAGTGTGATAATATTATACTGACTTTGAATAATTTCGTGACAATGTTTAAAAATATATATATTTTATTTTATTCTTTCCATTTATATGTAATTAGATTACAACGGAATGCAAAGGACAGCATTTCCAATTAATGTACGTAAACATAATTGGCTTATAATACATTAAACCACACTCTTTTCTATTTTTCTGAAATAGTTTTGTGTAGACTGTTTAAATTTTTTTTTTTTTGCATGATAGGACTTGGTGTTATGATCCCAATATTCTACCCAGTATTTTGTGAGCATGCACCAAGTAAACAATAATTTAATGATATAAACTGTGGTGTACACTCCAGTAAACATATTGTATCTCCTTGTATAGTTAAGATTACTACTAGGCTATTTTGTAGATTACAATGCTAAATTATGTTTAAATGAAAACCAATTTAGTGTGATAATATTATACTGACTTTGAATAATTTCGTGACAATGTTTAAAAAAAAATATATTTTATTTTATTCTTTCCATTTATATGTAATTAGATTACAACGGAATGCAAAGGACAGCATTTCCAATTAATGTACGTAAACATAATTGGCTTATTATAATACATTAAACCACACTCTTTTCTATTTCAATATGTGGTCCATTCTTTAGTTAATTAATGTAATGTAACAAGGGTGAGCTATACACAGTACACATACACAATAATTCATTTATGCAAATATACATGGTAAGAATTACAAATATCATATACAAAACACAGCTGATGGATTTTAAAGACCTGGAAAATGTCTGTTGTTGCTCTCTGAATCTGGCGCACACACACACGTCATCATTGCGCGCCTCAACGAGTGTCACTGAGCGGCGTTTCTTTCCTATTGAATGGGCAGTAGAAAAAACAGAGCGTAGAATAGTCAAACTAACCTCTCAGCCAGTCCTTTACAGGATTTTATTAAAAACGGCAATATTTTGAAATGATTGATACCATCGAAAAAGAAGAGAATTTAATCAGCGAGGAGGAGGCTGCGCAGTATGATCGTCAGATTCGCCTCTGGGGTCTCGATGCTCAAAAAAGGTGGGTAGATAACTGTTTCGTACATAAAGAACAACTGTACTCATTATTTTAAGTTGTTTTCGGCTAATTGTTTAAGAATAATGCATAAACCTTTTTTCTAGCATTAATCATAAGTATGATTTTAAATGCATTATTTGAGTATCTTTCGCATTCATGCTTTTAGTCTGAAATAAAAATGGTGTATTAGGGAATGCATTTTTGGACTAGGTGTGCATAAATAATAAGCAATATAATAAAGGAAATGCATATACACTTTACATTTTCAGACTTAGGGGATCACGGGTGCTTCTTGTTGGTCTCCGGGGTCTTGGTGCAGAAGTAGCAAAGAACCTTATTTTGGCTGGGGTCAAAGGACTGACTCTCCTGGACCATGAGCAGGTATCATATATAGACTGACTTAAAGGGGTAGTTCACCTCAATCTCTCATCATTTGTTAATGTCCTTCATGTTCTGGGAACAGCAAAAGAGGTGTAAGGCAGAATGACAGTAGAGTCAGCAGCATGCACTTTTATTTTATGGAAAAGAGATGCAATGAAAGTGAATAGTGACTGAGGCTATCAGCCCCTAGATGTTTAACATTTGTTTTGTGTTCCACTGAAGACGTAACAGGGTTGGAATGACATAAGGTTGTATGGATTTTTGGGTGAATTATTCCTGTAAATAATTCCTTACCACTCATAAAAGCACCTTAACAGGTACATAACTACGTGTTATTTGGCTTCCATCAATCAGGTGACAGAGAAGTCCAGACGTGCTCAGTTCCTGATCCCTGTGGATGCAGATGGTCAGAACCAGGCCCAGGCCTCTCTGGAGAGAGCTCAGTTACTCAACCCAATGGTGGAAGTGAAGGCAGACATTGATGCAGTGGAGAGCAAGCTGGATGACTTTTTCTTCCAGTTTGATGCGGTGAGTGCCGGAACAAGCAGTTTTGCGGGATAATTTGTATATTAACATAACTAAATCATACACCAGACCAACAGGCAATCTTATGTTGTGAGCTACTGTCTGATTGTTCATCAACTAAAAAAGGACACAAGAATATTTTAGAGACACTTGAGTATTGTAAATACAATAGAACAGGATCCTTACTTTCAGGGACCAAATTTGTTGTGCAACTTTACAGTACATATTGCAATACCAATGCAAATCTTATTGTACAGAAATCCCATAATACATTTTATGTTTCCATGGTAAGTCTGATGGACAGGAACTGTCAGCTTGACATCAGGTGTGATAGAGGTTAATCGGTATATCATTGATAGATTATTTACCTTTGTGCCTTTCATGTCCACTAGATGTCTCTATACGCAATTGATCATTTTCATTTAATGTGTTTGTAGCTTTTTTTTGCCTTGTTTTTCCCTCAACCTCAGTGTGAATCTATCTATGAACAGCCAACGTCAGATCTAGACACAGACTTTTATCTGAGACTTGGTTTGGACTTTTTCAAGCGTGTGCTCTTTTCCAAGCGTATGATATGTTCCAGGCCATAGTTTCTTTATATCAGGACTCTGTTGGCTGTGGAAGATGCAGTCAGCATACATACCCTGTTCAAAGCGCAGACAGGCAGTCTTTCATCTTCTCTCTGTCTGGGAGCTGTCTGAACCCTCCCTCTGGGAGTGCTAGTGAGAGTTCAGGAGGAGGGGGAAGCGATGGTGGGACACAGAAAGAGGAGGGGGGTTTTAACATCATCTATTCTCTTTTATCTGTTTCTCTTGATACTACACAGGAAACTTTGTGAGTGAATGTCTTTGTCTTCTCTTGTGTATGTGTGGTGTTATTTTCAGGCGATTTCTTAATAAACGATGCAAGTTTAGTCGAGAGGAAGCCAACAATACACTGAATTAATTCATTGTCTGGATGAACTGTACATGCATGGAAGAATCATTTGAGACAACAAGTACTGGGATGTTTTGTGCAACAAGTACAGGGCATTGCTTGAGCAGGTTTTGAGGTAAAATATCTATTTTTTTGTGTGAATCACAAATAAGCACTTTATATTTATGAAAGCCCATTTCTGCCACAAAATAAAAAAATAAGTTTTGGTAAATCATATTATGACATAATTGATAATTATGACATAAGTTGAAATGATGAGACTCATAATAATAAGTCATAATTATGAAATAAAAAGTTGAAATTGACATGCTAAGTCATAATGAAATAAAAAGTTGAAATAGACATGCTAAGTCATAATGAAATAAAAAGTTGAAATAGACATGCTAAGTCAATTATTAAATAAAAAGTTGTAAAGTTAAAAAATTGAGATTAAGTCGTAATTATGGCAAATCATTAAAAAAAATAAATTGTAACTTTCTATGTTCTAATTGTGACTTCTCAATTTTTTGACTTTATATCGTTTTACTTTGTATGACAATTTCAACTGATTCAATAATTGACTTATGTTATCATTTATTTATAATTAATATGTTATTAAATATGTTATAATTTATATAATTGTGACTTTTTTTGTCATAATTTTGATTTAGTATGCCATAATTCTGATTTATCATTTAATAATCTATGACTTTTAATTATGATTTATCATGCATAATAATTTTGGGCTGAGAAAAAGAACAAGTATATAGCATCACTTATGTTTTTCCAAACCTGTATGACTTTCTTCTGTGGAGCACACAAGAAAAGAAAGAAAGAAAAGTTGAATAATCACAGTTAATGGTCACAGGAGGTCACAAGCTTTAAAAATAAACCAAAAGTGCCATAAAAATTATCCAGAAAACGTACATTTCAGTCTCTTGCTCACACAAAGCTATCATATTGATTCAGAAGACCTGGAATATAGTCATATTGACCACTTTTATGATACTTTTAAAGTGCTTTTTGTAACTTCACTTTCATTAATTAGAAAATAGTGGCCAGCATATATCCTTCAAAAATGTTCTTTTTGTGTTCCAAGAGTTGAATATTTATGTAGAGTCAGCTGTTTTGGCAGTCCATTCCACCAATAGAAAACAAACATGGAGCTCCTGGACAAGGTCAAGCCGGAAGCCTTCATATAGGGAGCGGGTGGATGGCTAGGTTTTCATAAGGAGCTGTTCACAGTAGCCTGACTGGGGTGTACATTTTGAAGGACTGAAGATAGTGGAGGACTAAAGCCAAGAGCTTAAATTGAATTAAAGATTTGCCAGCACAGACGTCATGTAATGCCAAGTGGCAGCTATTTAGTGGAGGCATATGGTAGCTGCTGGTAGCTCTGATTAATATTCCTTTGTGGCATGATTTGTTTCTTCTTTGCATCCTCTAGGGGTCACTGCTTGATAAAGATGTGTTCTTTTGAGACATCTGGCTGCCTGGAGGCACATAATACTGACAGGAAGAATGTGTCAAAAGACAATGTCTCGCCACATGTTTCATAATGTTTCTCTATGCACCCTGGTCCCAGATGAACTAGTGAAGGTGTTACTCCTCAGGGCACTACTTCATTGCAACAGTATTTCCGAGAAGTGTTGTTGATATTCAGTTTGGATTGCATAACCTTTGAACATCCTTTGAAAAAGGCCTGCTTAGATAACCTGTTCACTTCAGGTGTACTTTAAGTAATGAGGTTACAGGTGGTGTTCTGATGAGGAAAGTAAACAAACCCAAGTCAACAGATAAAGTGATGATTCATCTGTCCTTGAAGATCCACCCAGTTAACGCATCATGGCGCATGTCATCTGTATCTCAAATGGTTATTAATACACCACCACATCCTTATCTGAAACCCAAAATTGGGGGTGTGAGAGGTTTGGGACCTTGGATAAGAGTGCCAATGTTCTGGTCAGTTGTCTGTCATTGCCAAACCTTTGTTCTGTTTCTGGTTGTACCCATAAGATGTGTTTTAAGGACCCATCAAGGTCACTGGTTTGAAAACAACCACATATTAATGCACATTGTTTTGTTCAGGTTTGTCTGACCAGGTGCTCCAAAGACCTCATGGTACGAGTGGACCAGCTCTGTGCCTCCAGGAACATTAAGGTCTTCTGTGGAGATGTGTATGGTTATCATGGATACATGTTCTCTGATCTTGGCCAGGAGCATCACTATGTAGAGTAAGTCCGGAAATGTGGATGAAAAGGTGGCTGTGTTTGATTTTAATGTGGAAAAAACTGATGATCCCATTGAAACTTGCCAGAGAAAAGCCCAAAGTGGTGAAAGGGTCTAATGAGGCCAATGATGGTCCTGAGGCAAAGAAACCGAAGGTTGACCCCAATGAGACTACAATGGTGAAAAAGGTGGGTGTTTTGGCGGCTTTGGTGTCTGTTAACTATATATATCTCAGTTTTCAGTCACATCTATGACCCTTTAAAGTCAAGTTAATAAGATAACCTCCATCTCTCTTTATATAGACCGTCAGTTTCTGCTCTCTCAAAGCAGCACTGGAGGTTGACTGGACTAATGAGAAGGCCAAAAACAGTCTGAAGCGCATTCCTGTAGACTACTTCCTTCTGCAAGGTATTTTTTACATTTAATTAATCCAATAACTCATGAAAAAGTTCAGTAAACGGGAATTTCCTTCCTAAATTGTGCAGTTTACTGGATGATCTTCAGGTACATACTACATTCCAGAGGTTTCTGATGCTCACCAAGGCTACATCTATATGATCAAAAATACAGTAAAAAATTAAAAATATTATTCTAATTTAACATTACTTTTTCTGTTCTAATATATGTTAAAATATAATTTATTACTGTGATGGAAAAACTAAATATTCAGCAGCCATTACTCCAGCCTTCAATGTCACGTGATCCTTTAGAAATCATTAATTCTTATTATCAATGTTTTTGTGGAAATCGTGATCCATTTTTTTCAGGATTCTTTGATTTAATAAAAAGTTCAAAATGACAGCATGTATTTGAAATCGAAATCTTTTGTAAATTGTCCTTACTGTCATTTATGATAATTTCAATGTGTCATTTCTGAATAAAAGTATTAATGTTAAACTTTACTGATAGATCATGTGAAGCACAAACATCCATTCAGTTAACACAGATAATCAACAAAAATAGCAACAATATTATATATACTATACAAGGTGCAAACAGTGGCTTAAGTGGTTATTTTGTTACAGTCTTTTCAGGCAGCTGAAGACGTTGCAGTTTCCTCCTACAGTCTGCCGTACACCGTTATCAGGGGGAGGGCCTGTTGATCTGTGTAATTATAGTCAACATTTCTCTTTTTATACAAGTGCTCACCTGGTGTCCTCACTGAGACTGGCTCATTTTCCATCACAGGCTGTCCATGGCCAGTCATGTGCAGTGGCTCTCAAAAACAAAACATGCCACCTCCGCACCTCTCTATCATTATAACAGACTCTGACTGCCCCTCCCTAAACATCTAGTATTACATTTATGGAAAAAATAACACTTCCTATTTGTGCACTGAAGCAAGACTTTAAGTGCATTGCTGTGCTCAAAAATACCACGCATCAGTTCAAACAGCTTTTGAGGAAGAGCCGTTTCCTCTGTCTTAACTCACTGATTTATTTGAGGTTTTATCACCCCAGTGGTGCGACTATTACGTCAATGATTTTTTTCCAAACCCTCGGATGTTGTTTTCACAATCTGGAGAAAATTCTATCAAGAAATTCAGCAATGAAACTTAAAATTTAATCTATGTGCTAGATAGAGTGAGATAACACGAATGAGTGGGTGTGTGTTTTTTTTTTATGTAAGTATGTGCTACGCTGCCAGGTGGAAATGCAGTGGGCTGGGGTTCATTGTGTTGTAGTTGGTGGGCAGTAAAAAAGGGGAAGTGATACTTTGGAAAATAGCCTAAAGGGGCTTGATGCCTTTTCACGTGCTACACAAATCTTCAAACACATCTCTCCTCCACTTACGTCCTGTTTAAATGTGGAAAACCCACTCTTTCCCCACTCATTCTCTCTTATTTCCTCCAACAGTGCTTCTGAAGTTTCGTACAGATAAAGGTCGTGATCCTCAGCCAGACAGCTTCGCTGAAGACTCTCAGCTGCTCTTGCAAATCCGTGATGATGTTCTTGAGACCATGGGCCTGAGCTCTGAACTTCTTCCCAATACCTTTGTCAGGTACTTACAGACGCAGAAACACGGTGTTCACATTCATTCTCTCCAACATGTTTTTTTTCTTACTAACCAGGGATGTGAAAAACTAGTGGGTGGGTTTCATGAACAACTAGTTGAACATAATAATATGTCTGGTTTCAGGTTCACCAGACCCCGACTGGGGGTTTCTCTCAAGTAGACAGAGTGCAACAGAACGGAACTGAATGCAGGCTTTTTTAAAAGATGGATTATTTTTAACTACATGCGCCATCTCAAAAACTGTCAAAATAGCTGCAGATTCTGGCGTGGAGTTAAAAACAATAAAAAAAAAAACTGTGAGACGCAGTGTATCGTCCAGACACACTCACCTGAATATCATGGCTGTAGTGAATTTCTGAGAGAGACTTCATGCACACTGTAGCTAAAAACTGAAGCACAGCATGCTAATTAAAAACACCACTGCTAAAATATGTAAGAAAAAAAAACCTGGATTAAAAAATCTTCTATTTGGGGTTTTTGAATGATTAGTCAACCCGTTCTTAATACCATTATTCTCTTACTTTAGCTCGAAATATATTTGCTTGTTACACATATGCTAGGGTAGACATATAGTGTGTGTAACATACATTTTGCCATCAGCTTAATAGGCTCATATATGGTGACACATGCACACAGTTTTTTTTGTGTGCAAATTAGTTATTCCAAAAGGTGGCAACACTTGCCTAGCCAGTTTCACACTTGAAAAATAAATTGATTAGTTGGAACAAGAACAAACTAATGAAAACACTCAATTTAGGTAGATTTATTGGAAATTAAAATAATAATTTCATTAATTTGAACAAATTTACAGTCAGTATAGACGTTACATCTATTATGTTCACCATGTTTTCTCACTGATACGTCTCCAACTCGGAAACACTGGGTTCATGTGCATTAAACTTATAAATACAGTCTTTCCAACATGATCTGAACAAACCATACGCATAAAAACTGAAGTATACTTTGGGCTTTTCTTTCCAACTTAACTACAACTCCTGCTTTGTGTTTGGTCCTCACAGTTACTGTTTCTCTGAGATGGCCCCAGTGTGCGCTGTAGTCGGAGGAGTTCTTGGACAAGAGATAGTCAAGGTGAGATCTTTGATTCATTTACATGTCTTAAGTCTTCATTGTAGTTTTGGTTTCTTTCAATTTCTCGTCCTACTTATACATGAAATGTGATATGTATTTTCTAGCTTTGCTTTTCCCCCTCCATACAGCTTTTCAATCTGGTTCTCCACACAACCATGAAACCCTCCGTTTTCACTAGCTGCGAAAGTGACTTTTCTGATGAGGCGCAGTGAGAAGCGTATGGCAGCTGCCCTCTCCATCAGAATCTGGGCTAAGTCCAAAAGTTTTATCTGTTGATGGTGTGTAAATGCCAGAAATGACGAGGTAATATTCCGGTCACTGATGAAATCCAGCGGAGAGCGCCTGAAATCTTCTCATATGATTCCATAAACCGAACAAGATTAAATAAGCTAAAGCACAGTGATGTAATCAGTCAGTCTTGAGTGGATAATAACACCTGGTTTATGGACAGTAAGAGGATCTGTTGTAGTGTAGGCCATGTAAAAACACATATTTGCCCCAGTTGCACACAACAGAATACAGTAAATGGTAAACGTCAATATCTCTCTTGGAGGGTGATGTCATCCCGGGATGCGGTGGGGTCTTCGTGAGGGTGGGGATCAGGGCAGAGTGGGGTGATGGAGTGAACGCCGTTGTCTCAGAGGCGGTGGCTGGGCAGGCCTTGAACCCACATGGCGGTGGAGTGAAGCCAGGCTGTCTCGCCATCTCCCTGCATGATGAAACAGGCTGCAATTCGCATATGGCTCTCTGTTTCTCGTTGCCCCTCGCCCATCAGTCTCTGTCGCCACAATGGTGAACGAGTCTGATGTGTTCGATCAAAGCAGTTAATTAGAGAATTCAAGGTCTTTGGCATGTGACGTGTCTGAAGATTTGTTTGCATGTGTTCGACAGGCACTGTCTCAGAGAGATGCTCCACACAGGAACTTTTTCTTCTTCGACGGCCTGAAGGGCAGCGGGGTGGTCGACTACTTCGGATCCAAATAAGTGGCCCCTGGAGAACATGGAGAGATGTGTGGCGATGCATGTGTGCTCTCGAAACACCATGGAGTTCATCTTCTGCCAGTGGCCGCAGGCATCAAAATCTGTCTTTTGGACGGTACCTTTGCGTAGCAGTATGCCACACATCAACCGATGCCAAGAGCAACGAGAACATTTTGTCCACACACTCTGAAATATTCATGTACACACGTTTTTTTACCAAGGTTATGTGATTTCTACATTTTGTATTAAAATAATAAAAGAACATAAATAATAGAACATAAATTTGTTTTGGATTGTTTAAGTTAATTAGAGAATTCAAGGTCTTTGGCATGTGACGTGTCTGAAGATTTGTTTGCATGTGTTCGACAGGCACTGTCTCAGAGAGATGCTCCACACAGGAACTTTTTCTTCTTCGACGGCCTGAAGGGCAGCGGGGTGGTCGACTACTTCGGATCCAAATAAGTGGCCCCTGGAGAACATGGAGAGATGTGTGGCGATGCATGTGTGCTCTCAAAACACCATGGAGTTCATCTTCTGCCAGTGGCCGCAGGCATCAAAATCTGTCTTTTGGACGGTACCTTTGCGTAGCAGTATGCCACACATCAACCGATGCCAAGAGCAACGAGAACATTTTGTCCACACACTCTGAAATATTCATGTACACACGTTTTTTTACCAAGGTTATGTGATTTCTACATTTTGTATTAAAATAATAATAGAACATAAATTTGTTTTGGATTGTTTTGCATCATCGATTTCAATTTCCTCTAATCTGTTGCCAACGGTCTCTTCGCTATCCTCTGTGATGCTAAATTGCAAAAAATGAGGCAAACAACTTTAAAGAGAATTTAAAATGAATGCAAAAATGTCAGATGCTCCCTTGAGCCATTTATTTCTGAAAATTAAACCACACAAATCATCCCAGCCCCGCTCTGAAATGAGGCTGGGTGGATTTTCCGATGCTTGTTAGCATTCTGATATAGTAGTGAAAGCCTGAGGCGCATCTTGTCAGGTCTAGGTTTTTTTTTTGGTGACGTTTGTAATGGGAAGTACTTTTATTAGCTCACCCCAGGTATGTAATTTACTGGACTGGTACAGTGGTACTGCAGGGTTTATGATCCCCGAGGTAAGTAGGATCTCATGTTTTGATTTTTAGGTTTTCGTGGAAAGAAATTATCCTGCCTGTCCAGTTACAGACAAAAAGGAATGCTAAAGAACGCAGTGTAACATTCGATACGATTGATAGTCCAAACACATGCTAAACCTACGGCCTCGTGTACAGTAATAGAATCAAATAGTACCAAATGTATCACATTTGTTTGCCTTTCAGCTGAAGTGTATTATGATGTTTGAATATGTTACGACTGTGCTGCAGACATGCAAAATCAGGACTTCGGGCCTTAAATGGATAATAAACGAGTGCCTTAAATCATAACACGGCATCAGTGAGTCAGATGAGAAGACTGGTCAGACTGGTTGAGCAGGTGCTCAAGTGGGAGTGGCAGCAAGTCTTGTAACTGCTTTTGATTTTTTCGGTTCGTTGACAGTGGAAACATGGGTTACTAGGTACCATAAGGTGGCCAAACTTTTTAAAGATTCTTATTGCAGATTCAAGCATTAGCATGGAAAAGATTTTTAACTGTACTGTGCTAATTATAACAAGACATCTAAAGTTCACTAAAAGGTAAAACTCCCACAATAAACAGGATGTCTCTACCAACATGATTTCAAAGAAAAGAAGAAAAGATCCAAGACCATTTCTGAAAAGATGTCGCTACTTCTGTTGCGTCACGACTTCAAAATGACTGTTAAACAACCTGTATAGTCAACATTTTCTTTAGGTCCTAATATAAGGCACGAGCATATGTTAAACTGAAACCAATATCCTCAAACTGGTTTCCTGAAATTGTCAGCAGCTGATTTTATATTTGCAGTTGGTGTATTGTTTATAGACTGATAATTGACCTGGTTGACGCCTGGTTTATCTTCAGCAATAGGTATAATTAAATTGCATAGCTTTAGGTCAAAGGCAGTGTGATGACTGTGTGAATGTCTATTCACAAGACAAATGACTGTAATTATGAACACTTACAATTTATATTAAAATGGATTTCATTGGTTGTTTTAAACAAAACTAAACAGTATTTTCTTTCCCGTCATTGAGAGTACAAGTACTCATTTTCAATGGTACTCAAGTACAAATTCACCAAGATAATGAAATACTGTAATGAAGTCCAATTACTTAAGTACTTCACATCGCTGCCAATGCCAATATAGTGAGAAAAGAAATAACAGCCCCCGCTGTAAAGAGGCCCTGACTGATTAAGATCCACTGCTCTTTCTCTAGCTGAGGAGAGAGCAGGATTAATTACGGACGCTGCGTTAAGCTCCTCATTTTAATTAAGCAATCTTCCTCTTATCGTGAAGGAATCCCGAAGGCGAGATGTTCTTACTCCAGAACAGATGTGTTGCTCCCAGCTATAAAATGCTTAAACATGTGACGGGAGAAAGAACAGCCCTCAAATGACCAACAGCTCTTTTAGGAACACTCTGGTGAAGTCTGAATGGTCCTGCATGGGAAATGTTCTAGGCACACGCAAATCAGAGCATAACAATCTATCACATCTTGTTCTGATAAGACTCATGTTGTTCTCAACATGAGTACAGTCAAACAGTCCCAACACTATATCGGATGAAATACACATAAGAGAAGGTTTGCTCTGTTTGTTTAATGGGTAACACTTTACACTAAGGTTCATTAGTTAACTACATTAGTTAACATGAACTAATAATGAACTGCACTTATACAGCGTTTATTAATCTTTGTTAATGTTAATTTCAACATTTACTAACACATTATTAAAATCTTGTTAACATTAGTTAATGCACTGTGAACTAACATGAACTAACAATGAACATCTGTATTTTTATTAACTAACGTGAGCGTAGATTAGTAAATACAGTAACAAATATATTGCTCATGGTTAGTTCATGTTAGTTTATACATTCACTAATGTTTAACTAATGAACCTTATTGTAAAGTGTTACCGTTTAATGCAACCTTCTTCAGGCCGAAGATCCTTTAATTGATAAAGATTTGGAACCAAGGCCCCTGTTGCATAAAACTGAATGATGCATTTTAGGCCTGGCCTAAACCATATAGTATCGTCATGTTTTTGCATATAATAATATACATGTTTTGAAATGATGATAACATTGCAAAGCCTTTAAAATATTTGTTACTGATATAAAGAGTCATACACTTCTAACTTTTTTTTATTAATGTTTAGTAAATGTTTCATTTTATTTTAATGGGGAAGGGAAATTGAAACATTTAGCTGAACTTTTAGCTTTGTTTGAAGTTTGAATTAATATTGTTTGAAAGCTTAATTCTGCCACAGGATAAAAAATAAATAAGAAATAAAAATACAAATGTGACTTTTTGTCTCACAATTCTGAATGGTGAGATATAAACTCGCAATTGTCGAGTTGTGAGACAATCAATTAAAGATTTTTTATCCCGTCAAGGAAACACTTCTAAAATGTTGTGTTTTTGTTTGAAACTGTTGACCCTGTGTTGAAGACCCCTAATCTAATATATTATTGACTGGATCACATGGGCTTTATTAACAATTTTGACCAACCATTATGAATAGTTTTTGAAAATTGTGCATTTAACTTGTGAGGATGATCATACAGAAAAGAAAAACATCAAAACACTGTTGTAATTCTCATATTTATTGAAAATGGTAAGGAAAAAACAATACAAAATTCATATAGAAATTTTACATAGAAAATTCCAAATGGCAAAATTACAAAGCTAGAAAATGAGTGACACGAGTTTAGTGTAAATCTGACAGTACATATAAGGCCTTTCTGCATCGGAGAACACGTGTATCGAAGAGAAGTCACAAGGTGGCCACAGGAAAGAGACCACACAACTGTTTTTCAGGAAGTCATGAGACAGGCAGCCACAGGAAAGACATCTCTGCTCCACAATACGCCATGAAAACTCTGTACCGACATTACAAAGCCAATGCAAGCAGAAATGTGAGTGGTTGAGAGAATTTTCCCACCGACTTGCCACAGTTTTTCAAATGTGGTTTCTGAAGGAAGCGTATGAAACCCATAACGGTGTTATAAAAATCCCAGACAGACCTGGATCTGACATTGATTCATAGAACACATTTGTTCAAGTATGATGGAATTTTGGCTCAGTTTAGTCCTTTATGTAGACAAATAAATTGCAGCAGAAAAATTATGAATGGATTTATTTGACAACCTTCAGGGGAATGTCGACAAACAAGTTAAAGAGATATATGGTCCATAAAACACAACACTAATGAATATCTCCATGCTTAATGCAGAACGTTTTTGTCAATAACAAATCATCAAAATAACCAAAAGTACAAATGATGGACATAGAAAATAAATTAGTTTGTGCTTCTCAAATATTTACTTGAGAATTCTATTCGCAAAGTACATTTTAATCGGGATTTTTTTTTACAGGACTCCACTTTATTTAAATCGAAATACGTTGAAAATAGGTAGAAAATCACTGGATTTTTAAAACAACTGCTTTCCAGTGTTGGTCCAAAAAATATTTGAAGAACAAAAAACTGAAACCGAGAAAAGGAACTTAATGTTAAGTACTTTAAGGTAATTTCATCAAAATATACAAACAAAAACTCCCTGTTTATTCTATCCTGTCCTTTTTTTTCTCACAAAATATGTACATGTGTAATCCATACAAATATTAACACTGCTCTCCAGCCATTTCAATAACTAGTGGTCTGGCTTTCCCACAAGGCCTCACTTCCGTACCTCCATTGGAGGTGACCAAGCTTTGAATTAAGTGGCAAATTTGTGTCCCGAAGTGTAGATTCAGGTAGGGGGCAACAAGGTTGGTTAACCCGCACACCATGCAGTGATTGTCCCTGATGGCTTTAGTACACAAAGGGCTGAAAAACGCCATTAGCAAGGCACGATCCAACTGTGCTCCATTAGTATAGTATGTGAGCATTCCATTATCTCGATTATCACCCGTTTTCCATTGATGGTGTGCGGGTGTGCGGCCTGCGTCACTGGTGACTGATAGTGCAGCGCAGATATTGCTCCTGTAAGGCAGCTGAAAGGAGAACCGACGACACATAACGCACTTCTGGGCCCGAGGCGCTACGCAGATCTCATTAATCTGTTTGCTTGAGAGCGACCCGGCTTAATGTAACTTCCCAGCATTGCAGTTAAAGATGCAAAAGAGTACGCAAATACACAGAGAGCCACGCACTCCTACTGACATCTATACCGGGACACACACTTCAGTCACTAATGCTACATGAGAATCCATGGAAAAAGATGTACAAAACAAACAAACCATCAACAAAAAATCACAGATAAAGAAACAAACTTGACATCTGATCCTGCAGAAAAGTCCCAGAGTCTTTAAGTGGTCGGCAGGAGAGCGCCTGCACTCTTCCTGTGACGTAACCCGTCTGTTTATCTGAGGCCATGCTGGTAGAGGGCATTGATGGTGTCAGCGACAAACACAACGAGCCCGCGGTACAGGCCTCTCCAGTTCTGCCGGTGTGGAGCGGCATTCTGAAACAAAGATGCAAGGAGAATGAGCTCATCGTCTGTTTTATGTAATGCAAAAAGTGAAAGGCAACATAAGAGGCACAGTAAAACTTGTTTTTGCACATTGCATCTAAGTGCTCAGGG